CTAAAAAGGGAGCAGGCTGTGAGTCACAGAGTCTGCGTATTTCCTGTTACAGGATGTTTATGTTTGCTATTGCTTTCGTTTTGTCTGTCTGTGCTTGAACGCTGAAGCAGATGGTCATGTCTTTTCTTTGTTCTGACCAACGTTGAATAAACTGTAAATATGCTCTCCTGCTGTGCATCTTTTGCTGTGTGGAGTCTGCTGAAAGAGTGTGCACCAGCCCAGGAATGTGGCAATCTATTTCTAAGGCTTCGTGCCGCTAATTGCTGATACTGCGTGACTGCGTGACTACGGGAGGTCGATGGATCGTCCGGCAGCCAGCTTGGGGGCTCAGATGGACGTTATCTCCCTGGCAGTATCCCAACAGATACCACATGCATTTATTGTCCTAAAGGAGGCTAAAGTCTATCTGACTAAGAGTTAAAAGATTTTGACCTTGGCAACAGTGATCCTAAAGTTTCTTTATTGTCCTGAAAATGCACCTGCATTTTTATATCTAAGCATTTTGAAACTAGCTGTGCAGAGACTGAATCCAGCACTTTATAGCACATCAAGGACAATTTTTAAATATAATTGTTTTAATTGGTAAACAATGAAAATAAGATTGTTTTATGTTATTGCTTTCCACCCTATGTTTTTAGCTGTTCTTATTTTTTTCCATAAGTCAGGGGAAAAGGCGGGATATAATAATAATAATAATAATAATAATAATAATAATAATTTATACCCCGCCCATCTGGCTGGGTTTCCCCAGCCACTCTGGGCGGCTTCCAAAAGAATATTAAAATACTATGATACATCAAACATTAAAAGCTTCCCTAAACAGGGCTGCCTTCAGATGTCTTCTAAAAGTCTGGTAGTTGTTATTCTCTTTGACATCTGGTGGGAGGGCGTTCCACAGGGAGGGCGCCACTACCGAGAAGGCCCTCTGCCTGGTTCCCTGTAACTTGGCTTCTCGCAGTGAGGGAACCGCCAGAAGGCCCTCGGTGCTGGACCTCAGTGTTCGGGTAGAACGATGGAGGTGGAGACGCTCCTTCAGGTATACTGGACCGAGGCCGTTTAGGGCTTTAAAGGTCAGCACCAACACTTTGAATTGTGCTCGGAAACGTACTGGGAGCCAATGTAGGTCTTTCAAGACCGGTGTTATATGGTCTCGGCGGCCGTTCCCAGTCACCAGTCTGGCTGCTGCATTCTGGATTAGTTGTAGTTTCCGGGTCACCTTCAAAGGTAGCCCCACGTAGAGCGCATTGCAGTAGTCCAAGCGGGAGATAACCAGAGCATGCACCACTCTGGCGAGGCAGTCCGCAGGCAGATAGGGTCTCAGCCTACGTACCAGATGGAGCTGGTACACAGCTGCCCTGGACACGGATTTAACCTGTGCGTCCATGGACAGCTGTGAGTCCAAAATGACTCCCAGGCTGCGCACCTGGTCCTTCAGGGGCACGGTTACCCCATTCAGGACCAGGGAATCCCCCACACCTGCCCGCCTCCTGTCCCCCAGAAACAGTACTTCTGTCTTGTCAGGATTCAATCTCAATCTGTTTGCCGCCATCCATCCTCCAACCGCCTCCAGACACTCACACAGGACTGTCACCGCCTTCACTGGTTCTGATTTGAAAGAAAGGTAGAGCTGGGTATCATCCGCATACTGATGAACACCCAGCCCAAACCCCCTGATGATCTCTCCCAGCGGCTGCATGTAGATGTTGAAAAGCATGGGGGAGAGGACAGAACCCTGAGGCACCCCACAAGTGAGAGCCCAGGGGTCTGAACACTCATCCCCCCCCACCACTTTCTGAACACGGCCCAGGAGGAAGGAGCGGAACCACTGTATGACAGTGCCCCCAGCTCCCAGCCCCTCAAGACGGTCCAGAAGGATGTTATGGTCGATGGTATCAAACGCCGCTGAGAGATCCAGCAGAACTAGGAAACAGCTCTCACCTTTGTTCCTAGCCCGCCGGAGATCATCAACCAGTGCGACCAAGGCAGTTTCCGTCCCGTGATGAGGCCTGAATCCTGATTGGAAGGGATCCAAATGGTCCGCTTCTTCCAGGCGTGCCTGGAGTTGTTCAGCAACCACTCGCTCAATCACCTTGCCCAAGAATGGAAGATTTGAGACTGGGCGATAGTTGGCCATCGTGGCCGCATCTAAAGATGGTTTTTTAAGAAGCGGTTTAATAACCGCCTCTTTCAGCGGGTTTGGGAAGGCTCCCTCACGGAGGCAAGCATTCACCACCCCACGAAGCCCATCGCCCAGCCCTTCCCGGCTAGCTTTTATAAGCCAGGATGGGCAAGGATCAAGGAGACAGGTGGTTGGTTTCACTTGTCCAAGCAGCCTGTCCACATCCTCAGAGGTAACAGATTGGAATTGATCCCATGCAATTTGACTAGACAGGACTCTAGCACTCTCCCGCCCCGGCCCTGCTCCCACGGTGGCGTCTACCTCTTCCCGAATCTGAGCGACTTTATCTGCAAAAAACTTTGCAAAATCATTGCAGGAGATCATGTGGCCCGTACTGGGCCCCGATGTAGCAGGTGGTTCCGCTAAATTGCAGACCACCTGAAAAAGTCTCCTGCTGCTGTTTTCTGCAGATGCAATAGAGGCGGCGAAGAAAGCCTTCTTCGCCGTCGCTACCGCCACTTGGTAGGCTCGACACTGAGCTCTAACCTGTGTCCGGTCAGCTTCAGAATGGGTCATCCGCCACCGGCGCTCTAGCCGTCTCAACGATTGTTTCATTGCCCTCAGATCCGTGGAAAACCACGGGGCTGTCCGGGCTCCATGCAATCGGAGAGGGCGCTTCGGAGCCAAACAGTCAATAGCCCTGGTTAACTCCACATTCCAGCGGGCCACCAGGGAATCAGCTGAAAGGCCATCAACATGGGATAAAGCATCCCCTACCGCTCTCTGGAAACCATTTGGATCCATTAAGTGGCGGGGGCGGACCATCCAAATCGGTCCCACCTCCCTGCAGAGGGGAAGGGTCGCGGAGAAGTCAAGTTGCACCAGGAAGTGGTCTGACCATGGCACTTCTTTTGTTTCGCTTTTACTTAGTATATACTTAGTATATTATAAATAATAATAATAATAATAATAATAATAATAAAAGAAAAACAAATATATAATTTTGCTGTGTTTATAGTATATTTGCCTGCAAGATGGAGTGGAGTCCCCACCAAAAATGGTCCTTTCTATAGCAACCCTAAGCTCTGCACAGGCATAGAACCCAAAGGTGTGACTGCAAGGAAATCACAAAGAGGAACTCAATACATTCTTATTTTATTTTGGAGAGTGTTTCCTATGTAATTTGAGATCCTGCTAATGGTTGATTTTAATCATGGTAATGTAGACATGATTTAAATTATGTTAACTCATTTGTATTAATAGCTTATTTGTATTTTAAATTTCTTCCTTATATATGTTGTATTCCAGTAGAATAACAATCAAGTAACAGTCAGGTGTCAAGTAACAGAGAAACATATGCTGTTGGGAGGGAAATGAAGAAAAGAGAGGCAGAATCAGTCAAGAGATGGAATGGGGCATCCTGATCCAAGAAACACCCCAGGAACCAGATTCCCTCTTAGATAAATGGGGCTTCATTGCATTGCATTCAGGACTGAGTCTTCCATTGAAATCTGGGGAGGGTAGCAAATGAGACAATCTAACAGATTTAATTCCCTTGTGAGCCCCCAGTGTTGGTTTTTTTTACAACCACAATACCACTACACACACAGGCTAAAGGCTATTTGACTAAGATTTATAAAATGTTGACTCTGGCAGCAGTGATCTTAAAGCTCCTTGATTGTCCTGAAAACATACTAGCATCTTTATATTTAAGCATTTTGAAGCAAGCTTGTAGTTTTAGCACATCAAGAACATGTTGGCTGTAGTGGGAGCATACTTGTTAAGATTGTCATATTTAAAATAGTAACTACCTTTACCCACAATGTTGTTGTGGGTTCCCCCCCGCCCCGCTAAGTGGTTGAGGTTTTCTAAGGAAATATTCAGGGGGGGGGGGCAGGGGCAAAGGAAGGTGTTGTGACACCCAGAGCACATGTGCGTACGATGTATGGCACATACGTAGCGACGCCGCACATACGCTGTATAGCGGTTTGCCACCAGTGCCACTCTAGCGCCATATGGACGGTGCTGGGATCCCTCCATTGCCGCTGCAGGTTGTAGCAGCGCCAGAGGGATCCCGGCACCGTCCATACGGTGTTGGAGTGGCACTGGTGGCAAACTGCTATACAGAGTATGTGCGGCGTCGCTATGTACTTCGCATGTTTGCAATGCCACACATGCGCTGTACTTAGCAGTTTGCTGCTGGCGCCAGGATCCTCAGCTCGCAGCTGCAGCCACGAACGGAGGATCCTCCAAATCTAATGCACACCTCAATTTTCAATACCTTGAAACCAAAAAAAGTATTTGCGGGTGAATGTAAATGTGCAATCAAATGTAATGGGCACTTTAATTTTTGCAATGTAATTTGACCATAACTGTGGACATTACAGATAGGTAGCCGTGTTGGTCTGCCATAGTCAAAACAAAAAAAATTCCTTCCAGTAGCACCTTAAAGACCAACTAAGTTAGTTCTTGGTATGAGCTTTCGTGTGCATGCACACTTCTTCAGATACCTGAAGTATCTGAAGAACTGGAAGGAATTATTTCTGTTGTGGGCATTACATTCAAATAAATACGGTGTTTTGGGTGTGTGGACTACTCATTTAATTAAAACAGAGCAAAAGTGCCAATTAACAGTCCAATCATGTTTAATGTGGAGAAGATCAAAGAATCAAGTAAAAGCAAAGGGGGAAGGAGAGGAATTAGGTTGCAAACACACTAACCCACTTGGAGCACAAATTTTCCTCGCCTCAATCCAAAATATTATATGCAGGTACTACTTCTCCCTCTCTTAGAATAACACAAAGGACAGGACAGATCACAATCCCATTGAAATACCAGTCCCAAACCCCACCTTGAATTTGGTCCTTCACCCAAAATTTACCTTTCTGAAGCAGTCCGGATAACAGAGCATCTGAAAAAGCAAAGTAATATAAAGTTTGAGAAATAGACTTTTATAATTTTGCAACAAAATTTTCACTTCATAAGATATTTTGGACTAATAAAATCCCTGCAGCCATTTTTCATTACCTTTTATTTTTTCCATCCCAACATATAGAATAGGATTAGCAGCCCTGAATTTTGAGATCTCCCTCTTCAATTCTAGTGAGAAAGTGAGTGGATTTTCAGATGTCCCACTTCGCTCACACCTGATAGGAAAAAGACATGTTAACCCATTTCAAATCCAGAATTTCTGAGGGCAGCAAAAGAAAGGAATTGAGAGGAGCAAAGAAACTGTATAAAGCCAAGAGGGAGAGACAGAGGAATGGAGTCACAGAGGGGAGAAGATTCCTCCTTACTAGGGACTCCAAATCCAGACAACTGAGGGCCAAAGGAGCAGCCCTTTGTCTGAATCTCTTCATTTACATCTACTCAAATGGAGAAATAAAATAAAATCAAGTGATTCCATCCTGCTCAGAGTTTTTCCATTTCAGCTGCATTGCCTACAAGAGGCAAGAAAGATGTGGAGGAGTTAAAGATGGTTGCTGTTGTTGACAAAAGTGAAATATTCCTTCTATCCTGGCCTGCTCTGGTCCATGGGGTCACGAAGAGTCGGACACAACTATTTTTTTAAAAAATATATATTTATTGAAATTTTCCGCTTTAATACCTTAAAAAGTCAAAAAAGAAAACAAAAAAAAAAAATAAAAACACATACAGTTTGCAATCCTTATTTTCCTGTAACATATTTCCCTGACTTCCCCACACCTCCCCTTCTTATATTCCAATTCAAATTTGTTAGTTCAACAAGTTCTTATCCCAATTTTGAACCTTTTTATATTTAGTTCATTTTAAAAAAACCAATTTTACCTTATAAACATCAATGTTTGTACATCAGTTCTCAATCTTAAAACGTTTTTCTAAAGTCGACCCAAATTCCCTTCCACGAATTCCCCAATTTTCATACTAATAACATGACAAAAATAAAAAAGAGAAAACATAATATAATTATGCACCCTTTGGATTCCCAAACCCCACCCCTCCCCTTTCCCGGTTTCAATCCCCAACATACCGTATTTTTCGCCCCATAGGACGCACTTTTTCCCCTCCAAAAATGAAGGGGAAATGTGTGTGTGTCCTATGGGGCGAATGCAGGCTTTCGCTGAAGCCTGGAGTGCGAGAGGCATCGGTGCGCACCGACCCCTCTCGCTCTCCAGGCTTCAGGAAGCTATCCGCAAGCCTCGCAAGCCCGGTGGGAGTACCCGTGGGCTCACAAGGCTTGCGGGCAGCAGCCTGCAGCCCCCGCGAGTGTCCGCAAGCTTTGCGCGCCCGGCAGGAGGTCCCACCGGGTGCGCGAGGCTTGGGGCGGCAGCCTGTCGCCCGAAGCACGGGGAGCCCTCTGGAGGGCTCCCCCTGCTTCGGGCGAGTGTCTGCAAGCCTCGCGCGCCCGGCAGGAGGTCCCACCGGGTGCGCGAGGCTTGGGCGGCAGCCTGTCGCCCGAAGCACGGGGAGCCCTCCGGAGGGCTCCCCCTGCTTTGGGCGAGTGTCTGCAAGCCTCCCGCGCCCGGCAGGAGGTCCCACCTGGTGCGCGAGGCTTGGGGCGGCAGCCTGTCTCCCCGAAGCACGGGGAGCCCTCCGGAGGGCTCCCCCTGCTTCGGGCGAGTGTCTGCAAGCCTCCCGCGCCCGGCAGGAGGTCCCACCGGGTGCGCGAGGCTTGGGGCGGCAGCCTGTCGCCCGAAGCACGGGGAGCCCTCCGGAGGGCTCCCCCTGCTTCAGGCGAGTGTCTGCAAGCCTCCCGCGCCCGGCAGGAGGTCCCACCGGGTGCGCGAGGCTTGGGGCGGCAGCCTGTCGCCCGAAGCACGGGGAGCCCTCCGGAGGGCTCCCCCTGCTTCGGGCGAGTGTCTGCAAGCCTCGCGCGCCCGGCCAGAGGTCCCACCAGGTGCGCGAGGCTTGGGGCGTCAGCCTGTCGCCCAAAGCACGGGGAGCCCTCCGGAGGGCTCCCCCTGCTTCGGGCGAGTGTCTGCAAGGCTCGCGCGCCCGGCAGGATGTCCCACTGGGTGCGCGAGGCTTGGGGCGGCAGCCTGTCGCCCAAAGCACGGGGAGCCCTCCGGAGGGCACCCCCTGCTTCGGGCGAGTGTCTGCAAGCCTCGCGCGCCCGGCAGGAGGTCCCACCGGGTGCGCGAGGCTTGGGGCGGCAGCCTGTTGCCCAAAGCACGGGGAGCATTCCGGAGGGCTCCCCCTGCTTCGGGCGAGTGTCTGCAAGCCTCCCGCGCCCGGCAGGAGGTCCCACCGGGTGCGCGAGGGCTGGGGCGGCAGCCTGTCTCCCCGAAGCATGGGGAGCCCTCCGGAGGGCTTCCCCTGCTTCGGGCAGGTGTGCGCAAGGATTGGGGCGGCAGCCAGGGCTGGGGGGGGGAATAATTTTTTAAAATTCATTTCCCCCCCAAAAAATGAGGTGCGTCCTATGGGCCGGTGCGCCTTATAGGACGAAAAATACGGTATGTCCATCAGTCCACTGTCAGCCTGGAGACCTCACGTCCGAGGCTCTTAATTCTCTCTCAATTCCTCTCTGCCGGTTTTTTTGATAGTCCTTAGTATTAAGCACTAGATCTCGGAGAAGCTCTGGCCCTATATGGTCCATGTTTCTTCCAGCCAGACCTCCATACTTAAAAGTGGAGCCCAAATCTTGTTTCTTGCTCCTTTCAAATCCAAATGTCCCCAAAGCTCCAACTTCCACCTTAATCAATTTTGTAATCCTTGGGTCTTCAGATCTCCACTTAATGAGATCTCTCCATTCTTCAATCTCCAATTCAAACCAGATTTTCATCATCAAGTTCTTATTTTCCTTTATAGCCATCATATCAGGCCTCTGGCTCTCCTTTGTCATCTGCGACATTACGTCTCCTCCTTCCTTTTCCTCAGAAACAACATATATCTCTTTCTCCACACTCTCAAAGCTCTCAAGTTTCTCCTCTTGTCCAGCTGCATGAACTTCCTGAATCAAGTCCTTATCAAATTCAATGAGTTTGTTTACTGTTAAGTCCAGAGTTGTAACATTAGTAGCCAAAACATCAATTTGGCCTTGTAACTTTCCCAAGAGAAGAAAAACTCTGTCCAGTTTAGCTTGAATTTCCCCTCCTTCAGCCATTGTTGTAATGTCCAAAACCCCCTCTAGAGGGATTTTGGTTACTTAGTATTCCTTCCAGTTCAAATCCAAAAATAAAGTTAGTTTGTATCAGTCCTTCCTTGTTTTCAACAAATTGTAACAAAATTGTAACAGATATAACCAGCAGAAGCAGCAGAAACAAAGTTCTCTTTTCCCGTCTTGACAGCTAATTTGACAGCTGTCAAACTCTTTAGTACCTCTTCAACAGGCTCTCTGATGGATCACTCCCGGGTCCGGGGGGGGGGCACTTCAGCTCCCAAAATTAACTCTTATCCTCCAGTAAGATTACTTATACTGCTAAATCATGAAATTAATGTCTTTTACCCAATAAAAGGAAGAAAGTTCTCTCGACCTTAGTTAGCTGGTCCTTGCTTTAGATTATTTATAAGACGGGGAGACGGACTTCCTGTTTGCGCCTTCCCCGATCGTGCCTAATTAAAAAAAAAATTTCCTTTACAAGTCCAATTTCCATAGTACTCACGGGTTGTAACTTTAGAGTCCAATTGTTCACAAGAAGAAGTCAGTGCTCTCCAACCATGGCATGCGGCTTCACTCCGTAGGAGAAGCAGTCGACTCTCAGCACCGCGCTGCTCACCCCGTCCCCCGTTCCGAAGCCTTTAAAAAGGCTCCTTCACAGGTCGGGGGGCGCAAATGGTGCCCGCCGAGTCACCAGGTTCACAGGCTCACCGCCTGTGATTTTTGAGGGTCCCCGCGTCGCCGCAGCGGCAAGACCCAAATCCTACGAAGCCGATTCCCTCCGGAGCTCGGAGGAAATCCGCCATTAGCCGATGGCGCTAACCCGGAAGTCAGACACAACTAAACGACTAAACAACAACATCCTCTTATCATGAGCTCAAGTGACACCTTGAAGTTACATACTGCAGTTGGGATATGTTCAGGAGTGTGGCAAACACCCCAACTCCTGCTCCCCGTTTTTAGCCCCACTGGTGACAGGTAACAGTGTGAGACTCTGGGGAATAGTCCCACAGATGGTGCATGGGACAGGTGTTTGTGTGGGACTGAGTGGGGCAGCCATCACGGATTTTGCTGATCGTGTGGCAAACCTAGATACTGTGAAGTATTGTCATTATCATTAGTATTCATTTCATTTCTATTCCACTTAATAATCTTCATATTATATTCATTCCCAGTTTACCTATGAAGTTTCAGGGAGTGATATTAATGGAGATGAGCAGGATCCCCTTACCTCTGCAAAGTTCTTCTAATATCCTAGAAGGGAAAAGAGGAAACTCAGAATGGAATTCACTGCCTACCACAGGCCCTGTAATGAAGACCCATCAGCCCCTGCAATGGATGCCCTCTGGGGTGAATCTGCCTAGCATATGCCAAAGTTCTGGATAGGTATGGATGCATCTAACAATTCTGGTTTCTCTTATTTTCCAATCTTCAGTTCTTTTTTATTTTAAATGTTCTGATGAAAATCAATGAGATCTCCTCTGTCTTTCCTAGGTATCCCTAGTATCTCGGCCAGTGGGGAATTTATGGATAACTGTTCCCAATGAAAGAGTTCCTTTTTCTGAGATATCCTTAACTTTAACAAAGTTAGCTAAGCAGCTTCACACTACTTAGCTAAATCAGGTACTGCCAATCTTCTCTTCTGTGGGACAGTTTGCATAGTTACATTATCCACTCTGGGACACTTACTTTGCCAAATAAAATTATCCATACCTTTCTGTCAGCTTTTCAATTCCCTCAAGTCAACCAAGAGAGGAAGAGTAAGCAACAAAACCAAAAACCTTGGCAGTTTTGTCATGCTTATTGCACTGATCTTTGCTTGTCATAGAATCATAGAACTGTAGTTTTGGAAGGGATTCCAAGGATCATCTAACCAAGATGATTTTAACTTACTCCAGCTTTCCATATCAGGTTTCTGATGCAGCCCTTGGCTAGTGCTTCCCTCTAACACTGCCATTCCGTGAGGGGGCCAGGGGCATGGTGGCAAGACCCCTGGCACCAGGCAGGGCGGGATCCTTGCAAGGGGGCGTCTGGCTCCCACCCTCTCAAAATCATGTGCCTAGGGCTAGGACCCCCCTTGCCCTGCCTTGGTACACTCCTGCTCAGAGATACAAGCCCCAACTGTGCCCCATTTGACATTAGTCCAATCTACCTGACCTCCTTCTCCGTCCCTCCCCCTTTGCTCCAACATGGTCCACGCTGTAAAGCTCAGTGTCTGAGAATATCCCCTTTTTCTCCTACAGAGCTTTCCCTGTCAAAACCTGCTCTTCAAAGCTGAATTGGGCCAAACAGCAATGCACAGAAAACCCAATTTGTCATTAGTTGTGCTTCAGCTTTAAAGAGGAATTTGGGTGGGGGGGACGACTGGGGGGAAGAAAGCTTGGGTAGGAACCTGGAAAGCACTGACCTGTGCCTGGAAAGAGTGCAGCAAAAGGTAAGTGTGGTTAAACCATTAGAGAGGAACTTTGGGCTGTTCCTGCCACAGTCTCACCTGCAGGAGTTCACTCGCTGGCTGCTGACTCTTCTCCTCCATCTCCCAGATGCTCCTTTCAAGAGAGGAGAGTTCCTCTGAGAGTCTAGCCAGGTGCTCCTCCCTTCTTATTGTGATCTCCTTCTCCATCTCTTCTATTTCATTCAGCAGACGCTTTTCTTGTTCATCCAGAAACTGGTGCAATTGTTTGAACCTCTCCAGTGTATCCTGCCTCTGACTTTCTGTTAATTTCTTCAAGAGGCAGGAAGAAAGAGGAAAAGAAGAGGCCAGAGTCTTTAGAAAGACATTCATTAACAATGTTATGGTAAATCACTCAGGAATGGGGCTACATCATGACTTGGGACTCAACTACTCTGGACTAATTAGAATGTTATATATGCATTACAAACATTTTACACCATGGGGCCCCTATAGAGTTGTGATCTGTCCCAATGAGAAATTGCACTGAGAACTAATTTGTAAAATAGCGTGTTTTATAGTGTTTTCCATATCAGTATAGATCCAGCCTTGGTCCTTCAAGTATACTTGGATCTCTTAGTAGTAATTGTGACACTTACAAGCAGGCTGTTGCTTTCTTCTCCTACTTCTGCTTCATAAGCCATAATTTTCTCTCTCTCTCTCTTCAAATCCTCCAGGCGATCACAGATGAGTGTCTAAAGAGAAAACCAAATATCAGATTGGATTAGGACTGGGAGTGGGGACCTTCAGTATTCTACATATATTTCTATTGTGTGGTCCCCCACTATTAGATATTTATCTGATAATAGCATTATTATTACTACATTACACAGGAACCCTTTGGCAGAAGTGCAGAAAAAATGGTGCTTTAAAAAACAAGACAACATTTTAAAAAGTTGCCTTTGAAGCAGAACAAAGTATGTGTTTGTTTTTGAAAAGCACAGAGATTAGGCCCAATTTTTGATCCACATTAAGGTGCAGATTAGCAATTTATTATGTTTGCTTTATAGCCACATTGACAGCATATTCTGCACACAGAGACACAGAAAGATATGAAAGTGTTGTGTTAGCAAGTGTCAAAATAACTTCCTACCTTGTATTCCTGGGCAACCTCTTCCTTGAGAACCACAGTGTGTGATTTATGTTCTGGGGATCGCTCACAAACGAAACACACCAATTCTTCATCTTCTTTGCAGAACAAGTGGAGTTTTTCCCTGTGTCTCTTACACAGATCCTTTCCCCCTTTATTTGGTGATATGAATTTTATTTTTTCCACTATATTGGCCAGCTGCCAATTGGAGCGGAAACTCCCTCTCTGCATCCGGGCTTTGCAGACGGGACACTCCAAGTCCCCCACCTGCATTGGTTCCCATGTGTCAAAATACTTTACAATGCAGTCCCGGCAGAAGTTGTGGCCACAGTCCAAGGTCACAGGGTCTGTCAGATACTCCATGCATATGGGGCATGTGGCTTCTTCTCCCACATCCGTGGATGAGGATGAGGCCATGATAGAGGAAGAATCTGTGGCTTTGTTGAGATGAGAGGCAGCAGGATGTGAATGAACTTAGGAGGGGAACAAGTGCCTGTAAGGTAAAAACTGTTCAGTATTAATCGTTTTCACATCCTTCCAGTAAAACTAACTGCATTTCACTTTCTTATGAAACGTATCCTCCACAATTGGTCCTGTTATACAAATTTTAAGGTGCTCGCACATAGTAGGCACACACTCACCACAGAAAACCAATCCTTCAGCCTTCAAAGAATAAGGAAATACTCCCAGAAAAACTATTTCTATTTGAGTGTATAAAATTTAGACAGTTCACAGAGCAAGAGCGAGGCCGTCTTTAGACTCGACTCCACTTGAACTGTGGGACCCCTCCATGTAGGTAGAAGGAACTTCTTGGTAAAATCATTCTTCCACAGCCCGGCAAACCTTTGTATTTTCAAATCACTGTATTTGAAAAGGGGCCAGTCTGTGTCAATAAACTCTGACACCAAGGTATTCACCATTTCCAGATTATGCTCTGGCAAGCCCCGGAAAAACATCTCTGAGTGGCAGATTTATGAACATGTTGGACAAACATAATATTCTGAGCATAGTCTGATTTACAAGTGCAACCCTTTTCTGTGTCTTTTCCACAGGCAACTCCACATCCATGTCATCCCCCATGTTGGCAGAGTGCATGCAAGTCTGTACCCATTCTGGGCCCCAAACAGTGTGTGTATGCCAATCAAACACACACAAAATGCTTGGCACTGTACCTGTATGATGACTTTCAGTGGTCCTTGGTTAAGGGCTGTACGATTTCTAAAATCTTAAAAGGTTTTGTTCTGGGTCCCCTCACTGCCTTGCAGGGCGGGGGCGGGGGCGGGAACTCTGTTGCAACAGACATCAAATATTTTCTTTGCTTTCCTCCACTGGTTCCTCCCTCCACTCATTCTTCTCTGATGATAATGGACTTAAGGGATCCTGGGTCCCTTGATGGAGAGCTGGGCTTTAAAAGTCAACCCCAAATTTTTGTATAACAGTCTCACTGCCTGAAACTGTAAAACTCAAATGAAAAATCAGTTTGCACATTCATTCATCATTGACCTACAAGATCACCTAACCCCATATGTGCCCACTTGACTGCTTCGATTGGAGGAATTGGCACTTTTACTGGTGCCACATAATACCTGCCTTACATCTGTCAGAACTCAATCATTTAGTGTGTGGCTCCAAAACATTGGAACTCCCTTCCTATTGACATCAAATATTTTCTTTGCTTTCCTCCACTGGTTCCTCCCTCCACTCATTCTTCTCTGACTGATAATGGACTTAAGGGATGCTGGGTCCCTTGATGGAGAGATGGGCAGTAAAAGTCGACACCAAATTTTTGTATAACAGTCCCACTCTGAAACTCAACTATAAAACCTAAACGGAAAATCAGTTTGGACACTCATTCATCATTTACCTACAAAATCACTTTACCCCATATGTGCCCACTTGACTGCTTCAGTCAGAGGAATTGGCACTTTTACTAGTGCCACATAATACCTGCACCTGCATTTGTTAGATCTCAATCATTTAGCATGGTGGCAGCAACCCTTTGGATCTCCCTTCCTATTGATATTAAGCAGGCACCTTCACAGTTTTCATTTCAGTGCTTGCTGACAACATTCTTATTTAGGCAAGACAACCCAGATGATTAGAAAGTTTCAATGAGTTTTCATTTGTTTTAGTCTGTTCTACTGCAGTTTAAATGGTTTGTATGTTTAAAATTATAGTTTTACATATATATTTTTTAAGAGATAATTGAATTATTTTTATCGTTTTTGTAAACTGCTTTGGGTTCTTCCACAATTAGGCAGTATTTTTTGAAATAAATAAAAAGCCAAAGATATTACAAAGCAAAATACATAAAAAATGCTGAAATATATTGAGCTGTTAAAATAGCTATTAAAACAAGGCAGTCTATCAATTAAAAAAGAGCTCCACTGAAGAATTTATCATCCCCACAAATCTTCATCCTTAAAATTGCCCATTTAAACCAAAACAGGTCACCTTTTCAGAAATGTTTCCCTGCTTCATGCATTCACTATCCAGCAGAAAGAATAATGGAGCTCCATGAAATAATCATTCAGTGGGACACAATCTCACATTCATGTGCAGGTCCACTCTCCTGGCGCTGCATCAAGAGTGGCCCAGGAATGGCACCAAGGTGACAGACAAGGACAGAAGCCATTGCAGGGCTCCAAGCCCTCCTTTGGGTGCCCAGCCAACACCTCCATTGACACCCATGGGAGCTCCTCTCCCAGAGCTAACAGCATTCCCATAGGGGCTTGACTTTCAGCTGAAAGGTGGGGGAAGGCAAGGAAGAGGAACGGTTAAAAGGCTCCTCTATACACATTGGGAACTGAATGAAAATAGACCTGCTTGGGCCAAGGGCAGCCTGGGAACATGCAGTGGGGTTTGGTTGTCAGATACTCACCCCCAGACTAGCTTCTCTTGTGGGCAGGGAGATGGTGTGGTCGATCAAGAAAAATTCTGGGGTTACCTTTCCTTCTTCTTCCCCCAGCCGTTCTTTCTCCTGTCCTGCTTATGGAGGGGCAAAGGCTGTGCACTTTGTACTGCTGTGACGACAACCAGCAACTGTTCTTTTCTTCTGCGGGGAGAGCTCAGCTTCCTTCTCCCCCTCCATCTTCTCTCCTCCTAACAAAACACCCATTTGCTCACCACCTCATCTCACCCCAAACATAAACTGCTCTTTTTCAATAATGAAAAGAAAAAACCAGGCATTTGGCATATATTTATAACTGTATAAAACAAATCCATGTTTTTCCTGAACAGGTCTTTTTATCAGCTATCATAAATTTGCCATTGATTGGTTAATAAGTGATAGCTTTGATCTTTGTCTGAACGTTCCACCACATCCATTTTGTTCAGGGTGCAGAAAATGAATTCTTTTTCATTTTATGCTTTGGACCCCTGACTCTTCCCCTCCTCCTATCCGTAATGCCATCAGGGAAGCACTTTAGGGCAGACTCGGCCCCACAGACCCACTTGGGGGTCACCCACACTTCTGCTTGCTGTTTGTAGCTGAATCAGGGAAAAGATCGATTGGTTTTTCTGAGGATTGACATTTGTTCCTAATTCAGTGGGTTTTCCTGGGGAAAGCAGTGGGGCAAACAAAAAACTGCTTTGACCCATGCCTAGAAAGCACAGGAGAAACTGAAAACCTTTCAGACCTGTGCTTTCTAGGCATGGGACCTATTTTCTCCTATGTTTTCTATGCATGGAACAAGAAGGAGGGTGGATGAACCCTCAGGCCAGGGCCACACTTGGCAGAAGGAGCAGGAGGGCCCAGATACACTTGCCACGTTTTAAAATAAGTGAAGTAATACACATCACCACCCAAAGAGGGACACCCCCGTCCCCCAAAAAGGACAAATGTAACCCTTAGGTGGGATTGCCATACGTCCGGAATTTCCAGGCATATCTGGAATATTGAGGCCAGAAGCCACGTCAAGGCGAAAATCGTTGAAATATCTGAGAAAATCCAGATGTATGGCAGGCCATGTTGGCAAAGTCATTTTTGCTGATTTCCTTCAGAAGTAGTTCAAAAATGTCCAATTTCTTAGCCATTTGGCACAAAGAAAAAAGAAAAAAGAAAAAAGCTCCAAAACTTTGGCCAAAAAAAGCTCAACAGCTTTTCTTTTTGAAGTATGGCAGCCCTAGTTTTGTGTGACAACTCAACAATGGGGTCAGCCTCTGAGACCTATTTTATCCTATGTATTGTTCTGGATCAAGACTTCACCCAGGAAAAATTGCAATCTTTTTTTCTATCTTTGGGTAGTCTTCCTTACACACACACACACCCTGAAATATGGCCAGGCAGCAGCAATAAAAAGAAATTAGACACAACTACCACTATATCATATGTACATGAAAGCATGGATATTAGTGAAAATAACATACAAAATGCATTACATTCTTGTACACATTACTTGACTGGAAAAGTGCACTAGGAAAATTCAGAGAAGTACAAATGTGAATGGGTGGCTGTGATTCAGCTTGCTTATTGATCTATAAAGCGCCATTAGTCATGATTCCGTTCAAGGTGTTGGACTAGATAACATTTGGGGTCCCTTCCAACATGGTAGTTCTATGATTCTTTGGAACTAGGGAGGCGTGGACTCAGTAGAATTTCTCCCAACCCCTAGTTTTAGGGTTTTAACTTCTTAACCTTCATCCAATGGTCATAGGATCCTTGAAGTAATCCAGGCAGATGGGACAGGTGGCTTCAGCACAGAGATCCTGGACGGGACCCCCAGAACCAGCCATGGCTGCTGCCTCACAGTGAAGGAACAACTGACTTTCACTTTCTCAGTTCTCAGTCTGTGGGAGTTTCCCTGTCTGCAAATGACTCGCCATCTCAGGGCTGATGTGCTTGGCTGCTGCTGCTTTTACCCTGGCAGGCCTGCACAGCTGCTTAGCGGTGTTTTGAGTAGCCTCAGTTGCTTTGCATTGCTTTCCATGCCTGTATACTGTGGTAGCATGTTGTCCTTAGCGGGTGTAAATTCTTCTATGAATGAATAAGAGAATGCAAATCACTGTCATTGTCGGGGAGCAGTCTTTGCTTCAAGAAAGAAGTGCTTAGCAGAGACCGCTCTCTCTTCCTGGCCTGGAAATATGAATTTCCCTGCTCTGCTCCGAGATCTCATCTTGTGGGGAGCTGGCTTCAGGCAACAGGCCCACTGGCGGACCAACTCTGCATTTCAAAGATGTCTGCAAACATGACACGAAGGCTGACAATATCAACCCGGCATTTTGAAATACCTTGCAGGTGATTGCAGTGCCTAGAGACAGACAGGTCATGTATCCACAGCAGCGGCCAGAGAAGGAATGACTGCTAGAGGAGCATACAGAGATGAAATGCCCTGGTTCATCTGCAGCAGCACAACTAGACACCTTCATCTGCTCCAGCTGACACAAAACATGTCTCTCCTGCATTGGTCTCTACAGCCACAGCAAGCGCTGCAATCTTCCCACAAGCTTGACCTCACCCAGAGACGCACTCCTCCACTGCATCCCAAGAAAGATGGATGCCAGCTTTGAATATATTAAAACAGTGGGTAGAATGGGTTTTTTTCTCTTTTTTTACTATGATGCTCTACAGCCTCAGCCCACATTCACCCAGAGTTGGAGCTCTCAGCAATCATCCCTCTCCAGCACAGAATGCAAACACTCCCAGGATTTATACATATTCCCTTTATTGTGTATTTGTGATTTCTGTGCATGATGCTACCTGGAAAGTCTATACAATCTCAGTTTCAATACTAATTGTGCCCACAAATGTTTGCAGTCTTCATATTAACTGCTTCATTTCTGATCAGTCTGTGTCCTGTTACTTTCTACTGTAACTTTTCATACCAGAAATGTTCTGTTGTGGGTTTTTCTTTTGGTTCCCTTTTACTCCATTACAGCCCAAGAGTGCCCCTCCAAATGGCAATAATGGAGTAGTGCTCAGAAAGCTACGAAAGTATAGCTGCATAGATGGTCCAGCATGAATCCATGACTACTCATGGAGTAATCCATGTACTATTATTGCATCAATGACATCTTGCAACAGACACCCGCAAAAGCCCTCCAGTCTGAAGGGGTCCCTCAACAGCCTGCCAGGGATGTTTTGGAGCTTTTCTTTAATACAGTTTCATAATTTTTTTGGCTTTAATATAGGTAAAAAAAAAAAGGTAAAGGACCCCTGGATGATTAAGTCCACTCAAAGGCAACTATGGGCTTGTGGCACTCATCTCGCTTTCAGGCCGAGGGAGCCAGCATTTGTCCACAGACAGCTTTCCGGGTCATGTGGCCAGTATGACTAAACCGCTTCTGGCGCAACATTACACCGTGATGGAAACCAGAGCGAACAAAAATGCTGTTTACTTTTCCACCACAGCAGTACCTTTTTATCTACTTGTACTGGCGTGCTTTTGAAGTGCTGGGTTTGCAGGAGCTGGGAGAGAGCAATGGGAGCTTACCCTTTCGCAGGGATTCAAACCCTCGACCTTCCGATCAGCAAGCCCAAGAGGCTCAGTGGTTTAGACCACAGCGCCACCTGTGTCTCTGGATATCATAGGTAAAGGTAAAGGTACCCCTGCCCGTACGGGCCAGTCGTGACCGACTCTGGGGTTGCGTGCTCATCTCGCTTAAGAAGCCGGGAGCCAGCGCTGTCCAAAGACACTTCCGGGTCACGTGGCCAGCGTGATGAAGCTGCTCTGCCAAGCCAGCACCAGCGCAGCGCACAGAACACCATTTACCTTCCTGCTATAAAGCAGTACCTATTTATCTACTTGCACTTAGGGGTGCTTTCGAACTGCTAGGTGGGCAGGAGCTGGGACCGAACGACGGGAGCTCACCCCGTCGTGGGGATTCGAACCGCCGACCATGCGACCAGCAAGTCCTAGGCACTGAGGTTTAGACCACAGCGCCACCCGTGTCCCTCTGGATATCATATACCTCCCAAATAACCATGTACTCTGGTGACAGGTAACTGTGTGGGACTCTGTGGAATAGTCCCACAGATGGTCCATGGGACAGGTGTCTGTGTGGGACTGAGTGGGGCAGCAATCACGGAGTTTGCTGATCGTGTGGCAAATCTAGATACTGTGCAGTATTATCATTAGTATTCATTTCATTTCTATTCCACTTTATCTTCATATTATATTCTTTCCCAGTTTACCTGTGAAGTTTCAGGGAGTGATATTAATGGAGATGAGCAGGATCCCCTTACCTCTGCAAAGTTCTTCTAACATCCTAGAAGGGAAAAGAGGAAAGTCAGAATGAAATTCACTGCCCAGCACAGGCCCTGTAATGAAGACCCATCAGCCCCTGCAATGGATGCCCTCTGGGGTGAATCTGCCTAGCATATGCCAAAGTTTTGGATAGGTATGGATGCATCTAACAATTCTGGTTTCTTTCCATTATTTTCCAATCTTAAGTTCCGTTCTTTTTTATTTTAAATGTTCTGATGAAAATTCATGAGGTCTCCTCTGTCTTTCCTAGGTATCCCTAGTATCTTGGCCAGTGGGGAATTTATGGATAACTCTTCCAACTGAAAGAGTTCCTTTTTCTGAGATATCCTTAACTTTAACAAAGTTAGCTAAGCAGCTTCACACTACTTAGCTAAATCAGGTACTGCCAATCCTCTCTTCTGTGGGACAGTTTGCATAGTATTATCCACTCTGGGAAACTTACTTTGCCAAATAAAATTATCCATACTTTTCTGTCAGCTTTTCAATTCCCTCAAGTCAACCAAGAGAGGAAGAGAAAGAAACAAAACCAAAAAACTTGGCAGTATTGTCATGTTTATTGCACTGGTCTTTGCTTTTCGTAGAATCATAGAACTGTAGTGTTGGAAGGGATTCCATCTAACCAAGATGCTTTTAACTTACCCCACCTTTCCATATCAGGTTTCTGATGCAGCCCTTGGCTAGTGCTTCCCCCAACACTGCCATTCCGTGAGGGGGCCAGGGGTGTGGTGGCAAGACCCCTGGCACCAGGCGGGGTGGGATCCCTGCAAGGGGGCGCCTGGCTCGCACCCCCTCAAAATCATGTGCCTGGCGCATTCTATTCATTATTTTCATTGCCATGATCCTACACTTTGCTGAAGGGAAACTCCCCACCAGAGTAGAAATCATATATTGAACAGATGGAAAGCTCTTTAATATGAGTAGGCTGAAAGCAAAGAGCAAGGTTACTGTAACTTCCATCCTAGAGCTTCAGTATGCTCCTACCAACCTTACTGTATGCTTGTGAAACATGGATCACTTATAAACGCCATCTCCAGCTCCTTGAAAGATTCCATCAATGGTGTCTCCGAAAAAAAATTACACATCACTTGGGAAGACAGGCGAACTAATACCAGTGTAATGGAAGAAGCAAAGGTAACCAGTGTTGAAGCAATGATTCTTCAACATCAACTTTGTTGGACTGGTCATGTTCTGCAGATGCCTGATTATCGTCTTCCGAAGCAACTACTCTATTCCAAACTTAAAAATGGAAAGCGTAATGCTGGTGGTCAACAAAAGAGGTTTAAAGACTGTTTCAAGGCAAATTTTTTAAAATGTAGTATAAACACTGACAATTGGGAAGCACTTGCCTGCGAGCGCTCCAGTTGGAGAACAGCCTTTACCAAAGCTGTCATGGGCTTTGAAGACACTCAAACTCAGGATGCAAAGGAGAAATGTGCTAAGAGGAAGGCACGCTTGGCAAATCCACACTGTGATCAACTCCCGCCTGGAAACCAATGTCCCCACTGTGGAAGGACGTGTGGATTCAGAATTGGCCTCCACAGTCACTTACGGACTCAATGTTAAAACCTTGATTATGAAAGACAATCTTACTCAGCTATGAGTGATCGCCAAAGAAGAAGTATATGGTCTCAGAGGCCACTCCCAGTAATTGAAACACGGGGTTCGTAGTTAACACCCCAAAATCCAACAGTGTCCAGGTCACTTCAAACCAGCAACGACTAGTTTTTCAGCGAAAACCCAGCGTTTTGCATCACCCACAAACTGACGAGTAACAATATATATTCCTTTAATAAAAAAAAAGTTGTGAGTTGGGGAGGGCAAGTAGTCACAAAATGGTGATTATTGTGGAATGTGGGGGGAGTACAGAAATCCAGTTGGGCAGGAATGAATGCAGTGGCCTAGTGAATGGGGATCATTTCACGCTGCAGCATTTTGTTGCAGGTGCCCATAATAACAGGAGGATATTCAGAAAGCAGATTGGCTGTGCGGAGTGGGACGGAAACAGGAAACTGGGGAGAAAGGGGTATGCAATGGAGTATCTTGAGAAAGGGTATGGCTGGCTGCAACCCTGAGCAGCGGCACCCTCCCTGCACTGCAACACTTTGCTGCCGATCCCCCGCTTGCTCTCCCAGGCGCAGGCAGCCGTGCGATGCGAGGTCTCTCCGGCGCCTTCCCGTGTGCGCGTCCCACCGCCAGGCGGCTCTGCTCCGGCGCCTCACCGAGGCTCCGCTCTTCCCTCTTCCCGTCTCCGCCGGGCGCATCGGCGGCGGTGGGCAGAGCTTCCTGGAGCAGCCGCGGCGAGATCCGGTCAGCGGCGTCTATGGAGATGGAGAGCTGGGGCTCCCGGGCGCCGGGGCTGCAGCCCGCCTAGGCGGAGGGAGGCCGGCCGAGTCCCCGGGAGGAGCGCGCTCCGGAGAGGCCGCTTGCGCAAAGGGGGAGCCGGCAGCGCTGGCGGGATTCTCCCGCGGCAGTTCCTCCCTTTTCTTTTCCCTTCCTCTCCCCTCCTTGCAAAAGGCGACGGAGCCCCGCAGGTACTGGCCCCAAGCCTAGTTTAATGCGTCTGCAGCAGGAGAGAGAGCCAGCCTGCAAAAGGCGACCGTCCCGGGTATGTGGGGCTGGAGAAATGGATTTGGAGGATAGGGGGGAAGAGCAGGCGGCCGGAGGAAAAGTTTGCGCGCCTGTCATGTAGGGAAACACGGGCGCGATTCCTTTCTAAAATCATGTGAAGGGTTCTTTCCCCCTTGTGGCCTTCCAGAAATTGATAAGTTTGGTGCAGTGAAATAAAGTGGGTGGGGGAAAGGAAATGTAAAAGATGCTGAGTTTAGAATATTTGGAGAGGGCTGAGTATGCGGGATGGGGCTGAAAGCAAAACGCTGTTGGTGTTCCTTTTTTAAAACAAAAAATGGTTGCAGTAGTAAAGGGGGGGGGAATTATAGCGTTGCAAGGGTCTTCTGGTCCAATCTGCTGCAAGGCATGAATCACAACTGAAGGAATCCCTGGCACCCCCCTTTTCTCCCTAACAGATTACAACTGAAGGAATCACAACTGAAGGAATCCCTTCTGACACCCCCTTTTCTCCCTAACAGATTTTGGCAAAATGATGTGTGTGTTTGTCTTTGGAACATTTCCTCCTCCTGGGGGAAGAGAGATGGTTGCCACGGAGCCAGTACAGGTAGAGAATGGAACTGGGGTGTGTGTGTGTGGTGGGACACAATAGCAATTTTGTAGTTTAAAAATATAAAAAAGAAAGATCCAACACACCTTTTATTTTCTGTTTCTTACAGGGACCACCATTCTCCTTCGAAGAAGTGGCCGTGTATTTCACAGAGGAGGAATGGGCTCTCCTGGACGCAGAGCAAAGAGACCTTTACTGGGATGTCATGCAAGAGAATTATGAGAATGTGGCGTCCTTGGGTAAGGACCTGCAGTTGCACCAGGAAGTGCTCCTTATTGGGCTATTTTTTGGGGGAAGCCTTCTCCCTTAGTTTTTTATTGTACTTCAGCAGACCTTGGGTTTCTCCCAAGTGTGTAATCACTCCTCCCCCCTCTTAATTCTTCATAGCCCCATTTTGGTTCTAATCCATAGCTGTCAGTGTTTTCCTTTTTTTAAGGGAAATTCCCTTATTCCGAATAGGATTCCTCGTAAGAAAAGGGAAAAGTTGACAGCTATGTTCTAATCTTACATTGCTGCAGCATAGTGTAAGAGAGCTCTTCCTCTGTTCTTAGCCGAGTGTCCCATTAGCTCAGCATACACTTTGCACATGGAAGGTTCCCGCTTTATTTCTGCTTGCGTCTAGGACATCTCCGTCTTGAGACTTTGCAATGTCACAACCTTGGCAAGAACTTGGGTTACATCTAATTCAATCCTAAATCTTCAATGCTCACAGCCCTGGTTCATCAGAAAGGTCCCCCCCCCAACTCCCCATGCAGTGCTGGTTACGGTTTCCAATCTTGCTTTTTCAAAATACAAACGTTTCGAAATAATTTTCATAAATGCCAGAAGAAGTGTGCTTTTGGAAAGGCGCTTCCAGTTCTTGCAACACACCAGATGTGTTGGGTCTGTAATCCTGTGTCAGGCTGCAGCTAGCAGAGGAGTGGGGAGACTTGAGCTTGATTAAATGCTCCTCCATGCAGTTAAAAACAAATAACTAGTACATTAAAGAGAAGGGTCTGAGTCTCTGAGTCTCCCCAGTGTTTTTGTTGCTAGTCTGGTGCAACCAAACCGCGTTTCCATCAGGCATTCAGGTACTTTTGTTTGTTTGTTTGTAAAAAAGAGTGCCTTGGCACAGCTAGCCAGAGTTGGCATTGCAACCAGCTGAGACCCTTTGATCCAGCCTTGCTCTTCTACGTCATGTTCTTATTAGTGTTTTCCTGCAGTAAAAACTGAGCAAAACTCGTCAAACGAAACAAAATGTGCCAATGTTCCTAGTGGTTGCAACCTGACATCCATTTAATGGGAGCTTTTAATTTCCCCCTCCCCCTCTATTTTTTGGGACGATGGAGCCGTTCCAATTCCTAAACCCGAGTTGATCTCCCGGCTGGAACGAGGGCAAGAGCCATGGATCTCCAACCCCCAGGCTGCGGAGGACAAAAAGGTCTCCATCGGCTCCTGCCAAGGTGAGAGGGGAGGTTCCCAGCGGCATTGCAAATGGGTGCGCTTTCCATGAGGAGGGCCTTGTCTTTGGGTGCTTCCAGCTGAAATATGACAATGCGGGTGACAAATAGTATTTCCTTCATGGAATACCGGGAGCATAATGCCTCTCTGCCTGTCTCAGTCCTGGTATTGTTACCAAAATGGTGGGGTATTGGATTCAGGTAGACAGTGATATCGGGAATAAGTATGTCAAGGTAAAGAAACTGTTTAGGGATAGAGCATGAGTGGATGAAGCCCACACTAGAGGGAACAGATTGTTGGAAGCATGTGGGAGCATGTAGTTCTGCCCTCATTGTGCTGGAACTACTACTGCTATGAGTAGTAGCAGTAGCAATAGTAGCATATTACTACTACCAGTAGTATAAAATTTAGGCACCTACCACTGGAACTACCACTACTAATATTACAGTGGTACCTTGGTTTTCGAACGTAATCCGTTCCAGAAGACCATTCGACTTCCGAAACGTTTGACAACCGAGGCTCAATGGACGGTCTGCAGAATCCATTGAGAAAATGGAGAAATGCGCCTCAGAAGCCGTTTGACTTCTGAGGCATGTTCGAAAACAGAAGCAATTACTTCCGAGTTTTCAGTGTTCGAAAGCCAAGACATTCTGCTTCCTAGATGCTCGAAAACCGAGGTTCCACTTTAGCATTATTATTATTATTACTACTAGTAGTATTATAAAAAGTAGGCTCCTACTCTAAAAGAGTAGTTCTGCTTTCATTGTGCTGGAACTTCTACTATGTGTATTAGTAGTAGTAACAATAGTAGTATAAAATGTAGGCCCCTCTCTTGAGTAGTTTTGCTTTCATTATGTTGGAACCACTGTTACTACAAATATTTGTAGTATTAGTAATGATAATAGTAATATATTGCCAGTAGTAGTGTAAAATGTATAGTTATGGCCTCTTTATGCTGGTAGTACTAATTCCAGTAGTAGCAGTAGTAGTACTAAGTTAGTACTTGTAGGAGGATAAAACAGGTCCCTGTCTGGGCTTGGTTACAACCTTCACAAAAGGGGTCCTGACAGGGCCAGCCAAACACATTTTGCTGCCTGAGGCAAAAATAGCAATTTTCTTCCCAGCTACCCTTGGACAAGGTGTGTGGCTGGTCAAGCCATATATTGGCAGCTAAAGCAGAAAACCCTGCAAGTGCCCCCCTCCTTCTGCTTTACAATATTAACTTTGTCAGGACACCCAAAATCAGCTGCCTGGGGTGACTGCCTCACTCTCCCTAATGGTTGGGCCGGTTTTGGGAGTTTGGGGAATAGACGTGTATGTGCATGCCTTGGGTTGTTGTTGTTTTTTTATGGCCCCACTTCCCAAAACAGCAGGCTTGTTGGTAGTTTCGCATTACAGTTTCCTAAGGAGGGGGGAGCCATCTTCACAAAAAGGGGTGGAAAAACACAACTGGGCCTCTGAGGCTTCCAGTTGATGCCACCCAAAGCGTGCCTAGAATGGTTATTTCAGGGTGCCCAGAGCAACTTGGGGGAAACTATACAAAAGGCTTCTCTCTGAATACCAGTGTGATTTATAATGGATGCAATTGGAAAAGCGGTTCTGGCATCAATTTTCATGCAAATGACAATAGGGCAGTAGGTGAAAAGCAGACCCCATTGAAATGCATGAGCTGCCCCAGCAGACTCCTCAGTTGGGGATTATGCAAATCGGGAAGAGGTGGAGTTGCACTGATTTGCATGCCAGGCACAATTCCTTCATGTTTCCTTAAGAAGGACTGAGGGTAGGTTCTATACATTGCCTGAGATTTAGAAATTTGCATACATATATTAATGCATAGAGAGAGCAGGATTTCTCAGACTTCTGCTAGCAGTGGGACATTACACACACACACACACAACTGGAGGCACGTTTCATTCTGGCAACTGAAAAGCGGTATTTCTACAGCTTGAAAGAAAAAACATCAGAGCAAGGACTCATTCAGAGATACAACACCTTCCTCTGTCCTGGGAATGACAGCATGTTCCCTCACACATATTCTCTCTCCATGTGCAACCTGAACGTAGTTATGCAAAAGAATTCCATTTACACTAATTAGGAGACCCTTCCAGAAATTATTGCTCATTCAGAGATGCAACAGCCAACCTCCTTTTAAGGTGCTGTGTCTCTGCACCGGCACAGCAAAATGCTCTCTTCATCCCTGATGCTGAGAAATCAAGTTGCACGCTTAAAGAGGCCAATTAAAAAGGAAGCAAGTGCCGAGAAAGGACTCATTTAGAGACGCAACAGGCGACCCCTTTGAGAGCGGGTAATCGTGCTGTCTTTGTATATCAGGAGTGCTTGAAATGTCTGATGAATGAATATAGCAGAACTGCTCACAGCACTGAGGGTAGTTAGGAAGTGGGCAAGTCCAGAGAGGGATAGCTCAGTTGGTAGAGCATGAGAACTCTTAATCTCAGGGTTGTGGGTTTGAGCCCCACATTAATAATAATAATAATAATAATAATAATAATAATAATAATAATAATAATAATAATAATAATTTATTATTTATACCCCGCCCATCTGGCTGGGTCTCCCCAGCCACCCTGGACGGCTTCCAACAAAGTATTAAAATACAGTGGTCTGTTAAACATTAAAAGCTTCCCAATACAGAGTTGCCTTCAGATGTCTTCTAAAAGTCTGGTAGTTGTTTTTCTCTTTGACATCTGCTGGGAGGGCGTTCCACAGGGCAGGTGCCACTACCGAGAAGGCCCTCTGCCTGGTTCCCTGTAACTTGGCTTCTTGCAGGGAAGGAACTGCCAGAAGGCCCTCGACGCTGGACCTCAGTGTCTGGGCAGAACGATGGGCGTAGAGACGCTCCTTCAGGTGCATTGGGCGAAAGATTCCTGCATTGCAGTGGCTGGGGTGAGATGATCCTCGTGGTGCTTCTATGATCCTGTCAGTCAGACAGAGACTCGCTTTTCCAGCCTTAGCCTTGCATTCTCCCTTCAGACCACTTTCCTCTCTCCCTCTCAGGGAACGACGTTTATTTGAATTCTCCCTCCATCCCGGCGAGCGAGGTGATCGTGCGGGAGATCAAAGAAGAGGTTCCCGAACGAGAAATCTTGGACCGAGCGGAGCCCCAGTGGACTTTGTTGGGCTCTCCTCCGGGGCTCGACCCCCTGAACTCGGAGAGCCGCTGCGGGCTGCAGAGGCCATGGGACATGCCTCCGGGGACAGTGTGGCGGGAGCCGTCGCGGCACCTGCGGGCGGCGGGTTCGAAGCGCAGCATGTTCCATGTGGGGCGCAAGAAGCTGATGTGCCCCGAATGCGACCGGTGGTTCCACTGCAAGTCTGAGTTCCTGCTGCACTGGAGGACCCACACGGGCGAGAAGCCCTACGAATGCCTGGCGTGCGGCAAGCGCTTTATCCAGAGCTCCCACCTCAGCGCCCACCGGCGCATCCACACAGGGGAGAAGCCCTACGAGTGCCCCAAGTGCGGGCGCAGCTTCAACCGCCGCTCCACCCTCACTGAGCACCTGCGCATCCACACCGGGGAGAAGCCTTACAAGTGCCTGCAGTGTGGCGAGAGCTTCCGATGGAGACCGTACCTCACCAAGCACCAGAGGGTTCACGTGGGCGGCGCCGTCTACAAAGGCCTGAGTGACGGGGAAGCCATGTTTGAGAGCCCGCCCCCGGAGGAGCAGCAGGGAGGCCACCCGGGTGAGCGCTGTTTTTGTCACGCAAATATTTCAAATTAGACTATAGCGTTGTCTAGCCCCATGCGTTGACAGAACAGCAGCAGATTTGTTTCCCTTATTCGTTTTGCTGGGTCGGATTCTGCAGCTGAGATTCCTACGTTGCAGGGAGTTTGGGCTAGATCATGGGTAGGCAAACTAAGGCCTGGGGGCCGGATGTGGCTCAATCGCCTTCTCAATCCGGCCTGCGGACGGCCCGGGAATCGTGCTTTTACATGAGTGGTAAAGGTAAAGGCAAAGGTACCCCTGACCGTAAGGTCCAGTTGTGGACAACTCTGGGGTTGTGGTGCTCATCTCGCTCTATAGGCCGAGGGAGCCGGCATTTGTCCGCAGACAGCTTCCAGGTCATGTGGCCAGCATGACTAAGCCGCTTCTGGTGAACCAGAGCAGCACACGGAAACGCTGTTTACCTTCCCGCTGGAGTGGTACCTATTTATCTACTTGCACTTTGACGTGCTTTCAAACTTCTAGGTGGGCAGGAGCTGGGACCGAACAACAGGAGCTCACCCCGTTGCGGGGATTCGAACCGCCGACCTTCTGATCGGCAAGCCCTAGGCTCTGTGGTTTAGACTACAGTGCCACCCGCATCCCACATCAGTAGAATGTGTGCTTTTACTTAAAATATATCTCTGGGTTATTTGTGGGGCATAGGAATCCATTCATTTCCCCCCAAAAAATATAGTCTGGCCCCCGCACAAGGTCTGAGGGACAGTGGACCGGCCCCCTGCTGAAAAAGTTTTCTGACCCCTGGGCTAGATGATCCTTGGGGCCGCTTCTAACACTACGGTTCAGCGATATTGTGAGTGCGAGCGATTAAACAGCCAGCAGCAGCAGAGTGCGCCCAGCAATGCGTCGTGTCATTTGCCAATTTGGGATCTTAAAAATTATAGGAGGGTGTGTTTTTTGTGCAGAAAGGCGATAGTGGAAGGTGGTAACTGATGGGCTACCAAGCGGCTATGGCAGTATGATAATACATTCTTCTAATTGATTGAAATTGCAATGAGAAAAAGGATTGACCCGAAATACATACTTCCTTTCCTGGAAGAAGGAGTGTGTGTGTGTGCTTGCCTAGGTAAACCTCTGACTTTGCATGTGCTGGGAGGGCACCTGTAGTACAATTCAAAGGTAAGAGTTGCAGTCAAATGCTCTGTTGTTCAGCATGCTGGAAGGTTGTTTTTTGTGGTTTTGGTTTTGTTTGCTCTTTCCAGCCGGGAATGTAATTCCTGAAAAAATAGGCAGTCCCAGTGGCCACTTCTGTGTGCTCCCTGCCCACTCTTGAGCAGAATTGATGTATGCAAATTAAAACATTTGTGCAAATGTCATGCATTGATGGGTTCTGATAAATGTGCTGGATTAGATTCATCTTGGACTCGAGCTCTCTTTTGAATAAGCAGAAACGGTCATGAGTTTATTCACTGAGATTGTGCTGCCCATCCAAATTGCTGAACCCTGCTGTGTTAAGAAAGGAACAATAGAGAAAGATGGTGTAGACTCTGAACTTTTTATTGCTTAGAATATTTATAAACTTCGTCTTCTCTCCAAAGGACTTTCAGACAGATTACATTCTGTGAATCAGTTCATAAGAATAGGGCATCCTTCCAATGTCCTGATCATGGGTGCTATTAACTTTGTAACTCAAACAGTGTAAGAACACGATAAGAAGACCCGCAAGCTGGAGGTTCTCCACCTCTGCTCTAGGTAGACCAATATGTAGGGTTTGCAGAAATTGGTTCTTCTAACCTGCCTGCATCCATGCTTTTTAAGACTATAAATAGGCAGGCTAGGGGTGGGTCTACATGGGGGGAGGGGAGAGTTGGACCCTGCTATAAATAAATCAGAAATTAAATTGTTAGAACAAAATATAATAATAATAATAATAATAATAATAATAATAATAATAATAGTAATTTATTATTTATACCCCGCCCATCTGGCTGGGCTTCCCTGGTCACAAAAGGGGGGGAAATGTCATGAAGAAATTTGTTTTGCATTTTAGTGCCATCTGGTGTTTCATATTTATAACACATTCAAATAGCTTTTTCTTTACTAATGTAGCTGAGTCCTAGGACAATGTGGGGGCGGGGAGTGTCTTTTCAGGACTTTAGCAGTAGTAGTAGTACTATTACTACCACACTACAATTTTGTTTTATTTATATGCCACGCATCTGCCTGGGTTGCCCCAGACACAATGGGCAGCTTCCAGCAAAATATAAAAACACAATGAAACATCAGACATCAAGAACTTCCCTATACGGGGCTGCCTACAGATGACTCTGAAAGTCAGAGTTGTTTATTTCCTTGACATCTGATGGGGGGCGCCACTACCGAGAAGGCTCTCTGCGTGGTTCCCTGTAATCTCACATCTTGCAGTGAGGGAACCAGCAGAAGGCACTCAGAGCTGGACCTTAGTGTCCAGGCTGAACGATGGGGGTGAACCAATATGCTCCTTTAAGTACACAGGGGGGATACGGGTGGCACTGTGGGTTAAACCACAGAACCTAGGACTTGCCGGTCAGAAGCTTGGCGGTTCGAATCCCCGTGACAGGTGAGCTCCCGTTGCTCGGTCCCTGCTCCTGCCAACCTAGCAGTTCGAAAGCACATCAAAGTGCAAGTAGATAAATAGGTACTGCTCCAGCGGGAAGGTAAATGGTGTTTCCGTGTGCTGCTCTGGTTCGCCAGAAGCGGCTTAGTCATGCCTGCCACATGACCCGGAAGCTGTATGCCAGCTCCCTCAGCCAATAAAGCGAGATGAGCACCGCAACCCCAGAGTCATCCGCAACTGGACTGGACTGGTCAGGGGTCCCTTTACCTTTAAGTATACAGGACTGAGGCCGTTTAAGGCTTTAAAGTTCAACACAAACTCTTTGAAAAAATGGAAGCATACGTGGGATTCTATTTCTCTGACTTGCCTTTTCCTCTGCCCTCCAGAAGATGACGCCGTGGGGAGTGCAAATGTGGAGGCCTTTCCCCAGCACGCTGCCTCTGAGGAGGGGGCAGAACAGCATGGAGGGGCCGGCCTTAACCCGGAAGTGGAAGGCCAGCCGCCCGAGAGGCCTATAAAGACTGAAGTGGGAGGGAACGACGTCACGGACGTCAGCCAGATCAAGATCGTTCAGGTGGAGAAGAAGCATGTTTGCCACGAGTGCGGCAAGGCCTTCCAGTACAAGTTTGAGCTGGTGAAGCACCACCGGACGCACACGGGGGAGAAGCCCTTCGAATGCCTGGCGTGCGGCAAGAGGTTCTTCCAGAGCACCCACCTCAATGCCCACCTGCGCATCCACACGGGGGAGAAGCCCTACGAGTGCCCCAAGTGCGGGCGCAGCTTCAACCGCCGCTCCACCCTCACTGAGCACCTGCGCATCCACACCGGGGAGAAGCCTTACAAGTGCCTGCAGTGCGGGGAGAGCTTCCGATGGAGGCCGTACCTCACCAAGCACCAGAGGGTCCACTCGGGGGACAACGCCTACAAGTATTTTGACGGCGGGGAGAGCCTCTACGACAGCTCGGCCTTCTCCGAGCACCAGGAGGAGATCCACCCAGGTGCGGAAGCCGGTGCGGTGAAGAGGAGAGGCCTCTGCTGGATCAGGCCAAAGTCGCGTCCTGGCTCCATACTCTCTCCTCGCCAATTTAGTTCATCTTCTTTTATTGAAATGTTCGGGAGTGTGCCTCTTCATCAGATGTGTAACATAGCAGCAGGCAACATTATATGGCAATAATAATGTCAACCAGAGGATTGATAGCTCATGTGGTAGAGCGTGAGACTCTTAATCTCAGGGTCAAGCCCCACATTGGACAAAAGGTTCCTGTATTGAAGTGGTGGGGGGACTAGATCAGTGTTTCTCAACCGGAGGCCATATGACCCCCCTGGGGGCCCCCAGGATGTTCCAAGGGGGCCACAGGTGAAAAATGCATAAATGGGGGGAGGACACAGCTAGAGGCTAGGGAGCCATAGAGGGAAGTGAGAAGTGAAGGGGTGTGTGGTAACTCGGGTTACAGACATTTCAGGTTACAAACGCTTCAGGTTACAGACACTTCAGGTTACAGACTCCGCTAACCCAGAAATAGTACCTTGGATTAAGAACTTTGCTTCAGGATGAGAACAAAAATCATGCGGCGGCGCAACAGCAGCAGCGGGAGGCCCCATTAGCTAAAGTGGTACCTCAGGTTCAGAACAGTTTCAGGTTAAGCACAGACCTCCAGAATGAATTAAGTTCTCAACCCGAGGTACCACTCTTCTCTCTCTCTCTCTCTATATATATATATATATATATTATATCCTGATTGGCTGGCTATCCACTTGGCCAATCCCAAGCGGATAAGGGGGTGCCCACCAGGGCCTGGTGCTCCTTTTTGCCATGTGTGTTTTCTTGGAGTTGTCCTGGTTTTTTTCCCGGCGGGAGAGCTGAGGCTCCCGTTTTGGCCAGTGGAGCCCGTGATCCAGAACCCCCTGGTCAGGTAAGTGCAGTGGTGGGGTGGCAATGGGTAGGGCTGGGCGAGCCGGAACTGCTTGTTGCTGCTGCTGCTGCTGCTGGGCCTGGTGGCACCCTGGGCCTGACTCTGCAATCCGAGGTGGCAGCCTGGGCCTGACGCTTCAGGGTGCAATCCAGCGCCTAGTGGATCAGGGCCTTTGGATGTTGCCAAGGGGCGCAGGGCCTGTCAGCAGCGTCGGCCTGTCTCTGCAAGGTGCAGGGTGAAATCCACCCCAGCCAAGTGGAATCGTCTGATGCTGCTGACTTGCATCTAGGAAATAACTGTCTACTCAGAAGAAAGCCGCACTGCGTTTAGAGGGCCTTGCTACTAGGTAAGGGTGTGGGGGGGATATAGTGTTTTACCTAGACAGCCAAGGTTCCTCCAGAGGAAAACAGCTTTTTGCACAAGGTCAGTTAGGACCACTTGTTTTTTTAAAATTCCCCCATATATGCAGAACTCCTTGTGTACCTTTTCCCCTCTGTGCCAAATAATGGGAGTCAAATAAGTGATGTTTACAGTACGTGGAAGATGGATCTCCCTCAGGAGGTTCTCCTTGCAAGTTTCTAAGCAGAAGTCAGTTGGCCATCTGTCATGGATGCTTTAGCTGAGATTCCTACATTGCAGGGAGTTGCACTAGAAAGATGACTCTTGGGGTCCCTCCCAGCTCTATGGTTATATTTTTTTCTGCTTCAGCAATATTTCATTATGTTCCCATCATTTTATGTAATTGTATTTTGTATAAATTAAAAAATATACAAATAAAACATGTTCTATTTACAAACAAACATTTAAATAGCTACCTTTTTACTAGTAGGAGAGGGGCCATGGACATAGCCAGGATTTTTTTTAGGGGGAGGCAGAATCTCATATATGTATTGATTTCTACTTATGGGGGGGCAGCTGCCCCTCAACCCCCGGCTGTGCCCAAGGGACCACAGGAAGGAACCAAGACAAGAGGGAGGCCATGTTCAGAAAAAGGTTGAGAAACACTGACTTAGGTGACCCTCGTGGTCCTTTCCAGCTCTACGGTTCTGTGATTCTATGCTCAGCTTTTGGGTAAAAAAGGGAAATTGTCAATATTTATTTACGTATTTATTAACTGACAAAAAAAAATCTTTGATAAAAACTAAGTAAAGCCTATCTTTAAGTGTGTGTGTGTGTGTGTGTGTGTGTGTGTGTGTGTGTTATAAACTTCTGGTGTCTAGGGGAAGCCCTCATGGTTTCAGCTGTAGTGAAAAATGCTGGATCAAACCAGCAGCCCATCCTGGTTCATCATCCTGTTCTCACAGTGATGAATCAGATACTTATGGGAAGCCTGAGAGCGATTCCTAGGAACTGCCTTCAACATGGGGTATAGAACGTCCCCGTTGATAGCCTCCTTCTCCATGAATTTGCCGGGTCCTCTTTTAAAGCTGGTAGCTATCACTACCTCTTGTGGGAGCGAATTCATACGTTTAATAATAATAATAATAATAATAATAATAATAATAATAATAAAATATTATGATATTATGGTGGTAGTGATGATGATGCCACCCACCTGACTGAGATTTAACTACACGCTGCTGTGTGGAAGAAGTACAGTGGTGCCCCGCAAGACGAATGCCTCGCAAGACTGAAACTCGCTAGACGAAAGAGTTTTCCGTTTTGGAGGTGCTTCGCAAAACGAATCTCCTATGGGCTTGCTTCGCAAGACGAAAATGTCTTGCGAGTTCCTGCGTGTTTTTTTTCCTTCCCCCCCTTTTTCTAAGCCGCTTATCAGCTGATCTGATAAGCTGATAAGCCGCTAAAAGCCGCTAATAGCGCTAATCTGCTAATCCATCAATGGGCTTTCTTCGCAAGACGAAAAAACCGCTAGACGAAGAGAATCACAGGACGGATTCTTTTCGTCTTGCGAGGCACCACTGTACTTTAGTTTGTCTTTCCCAAATCAAACACTTCTCTCTCTCTGTGCTTCCAGAGGGTTCCTCATTCCCTGTTTCCGGTCTCATTCCAACTGAGCTACAACTGAAGTTTCACCAGCCTAACTCCTTCCTGTTCTCATGTAACTGCTCTCTCATTTCTTCTCCTCCCAACTAGAATATTTGGTTTCTGCGCCCGACTCCATCTCCCGCATGGCACCTCGAGGAGAGCCATGGGTGCAAGGCCCTCAGCGCTCTGAGGGGAGGCAGAGTCACCGAAGTGGCTCCGAAGGCGAAGGGGCAGCGGAGCCATCGCGAGGGCAGTCCGAGGGGGAGGGTGAAGGCGTGGACTCTCCGAGGAGCCTCGCTGCCCCTCACGACAGGGCAGGAGCCAGCGACTCGTGTAGGTTTGCTCTCTGCTCCCTCAGATTTGCCTAGTTCCCTTTGCCTACTGTCTTTTCTGATACCCTTCTAAGTGTATTGTGTTTTAGGGGGGATTATTAGTTTGTTTTGTTCTTATTTTTATTATGTATTTTGTGAGGTTTTTACATTGTATTTTATGTTGTGAACTGCCCTGAGATCTACGGATGAAAGGCAGTGTAAGAAAGAAAGAAAGAAAGAAAGAAAGAAAGAAAGAAAGAAAGAAAGAAAGAAAGAAAGAAAGAAAGTCGTACCTTGGGTTACAGATCCTTCAGGTTGTGTTTTATTTCGGGTTACAGACCCGCCCAAACCTGGAAGTACTGGAACGGGTTACTTCCGGGTTTTCGGCGGTCGCACATTCGCAGAACCGCTAAAGCGTGCTTTGCGCATGCGCAGAAGCGCTGAATTGCAACCCGTGCGTGCGCAGACACGCCGCTGCGGGTTGTGAATGCTGTTGGTTGCGAATGTGCATCCTGCATGGATCACGTTCGCAACCCGAGCATCCACTGTAGTATTATTATTATTATTATTATTATTATTTATCGCGGCACTTCAAATGCAAAGTAGTAGTAGTAGTAGTAGTAGTAGTAGTAATAGTAATAGTAATAGTAGTAGTTGTTACTTTAGGCCCCATTCACACCCTGTATTTGAAGTGCCATGATACCACTTTAAACAGTCATGGCTTCCCTCAGAGAATTCTGGGAGCTGTAGTTGGTTATGGATACTGGGACCAACAGTTCCCAGATTTCCCTGTGAAGAAGAAGAAGAGTTTGGATTTGATATCCCGTTTTATCACTACCCGAAGGAGTCTCAAAGCGGCTAACATTCTCCTTTCCCTTCCTCCCCCACAACAAACACTCTGTGAGGTGAGTGGGGCTGAGAGACTTCAGAGAAGTGTGATAGCCCAAGGTCACCCAGCAGCTGCATGTGGAGGAGCGGGGAAGCAAACCCGGTTCCCCAGATTACGAGTCCACCGCTCTTAACCACTACACCACACTGGCTCTCTGTGAAGAGAGGTGGATTGTTGGAGGTTTTTTTGAAATCGTTTTTATTTGATTTTACAAGTGTAAAGTTATAACAATACTAAACACATATCCGTTTAAAGAGATTTATCTGAATCACAAGACTTCCCACCACCCCCTCCCTGGTTCCTATAATCAACATTTTCAACTGCATATAATCTATATTTTGTATCTGTCCGTATTATCCATAGTGTTTGTTACGTTACAAGTGTTGTTAGAATCCTGCTAAAGTTTTCATCTGCTTACAGTGGTCTAAGAGAGATGGATTGTTAAATCCCTCAGGGAATTGTAGCCCTGTGAGGGGTGAATGGTGGGGTGGGTGTGTCTCCTGACAACTCTCAGCATAATTCTTTGGGGAAGCCATGGCGGTTTAACTTGGTCTCATGGCGCTTTATAGGTGTGGTGTGAAGGTCACCTTAGACTGGAGCCTGGGGTTTAACATGAGTGAGAGCTCCCTCACATGATACCTCAGGTGGAAGAGCTGCACCCAGCTGCCTTCCAATAAAACAAGGGTGGGACACCTGATCCATCCTGAGGGCCGCATTCCCTTCTGGGCAGCCTCCTGAGGGCCGCGTGCTAAAAGTAGGCCAGGCCAGAGGCAATGGTGGGTGGAGCAACAAATGTAGATTTTTCCTCTGTACATTAGGCTAGCACAGTACAATTTTACCTTTGCACACCGCTCAGGCAAGCAAAGAGGCATTATGAGGTTTCAGGGATACAATCCAGCCGGGCAAAAATACTCGGGGGGGGGGCAAGTGAGGGGTGTAGCCTGGAGAGAGGGATGTGGCATGGGCCACATAGTGAGGTTTAGTGGGCCAGAGTTGGCCCCACCCCTGAGGTCCCCCCTTCCCCTGCTATAAAATTACAGCAGGAGAGAGGAACCTCCAGCCCATGGGTTTAATTTGGCCCTACAGGCAGTGCTATTTTTCGGAGGGGGGGGGGTGTGGAAAGCCGATAACTCGCCCTCCTTCTCTCAGAATGGGCAAGTTCCGGCTGAAAAGAAGCCCTGCCCTCAGGACTTTCCATTTGACCCACCAGGCCGCTTTGGCCAAGCGACACCCAACCTGCCCTATACCTGGCATGTAAAAATGTGGCTGGGCAGAAAGGGGGGGGGGGTGCAGGCAACCCTAGTCAGCCTCCCTGCTCCTCACAACAACCCTGCAAGGTAGGTTGGTATCTTTCCAAATGTCGCACAGTGAACTGCGTGGCTGAATGGGGACCCAGGTCCTGGTCTAGCACTCTGACCACTGTACCTCTTGTCTGTGGGGATTGGTCTGTTCGAGACTTCTCTGCCGAATGCTACTGTTACTACTAATATTAATAACTGTCGTTATTTTTGCAAGGCGATAGCATGACAACTGAACACCCAGAGGAGGAGACCCAGCGAAGAGGCCTTGAGCTAGAAGTCAACGATGTGTCGCCAGACAGATCCGAAGGAAACGTTTCCCTGAAGTCTCGAGCCGTCTCTGATAGTAGTGGCCATGGGTCTTTGGAACAGCTAACAGCAGAGTGGGATGAATCTGGTCAGTATGGAAAAGGCCTCCTGAGCAATTTGGCCTTGTCAAGTTTCTAGCCCTTAAGCTTACAAAAAAGAGAGAGAGGTTTGTAGGTCCACCGTGTTGTAGCTCCTTTGGGCATGCTGGCTGGGGAGGGATTTGGGGTACGTTTGGCCTCAAGAAGAGAAGACCGAGAGGTGAGGTGATCGCCATCTTCAGATGTATGAATCGGCTGTCACATTGGAGACAGAGCAAGCTTTCCCCCCTGCTACTCTAGACTGGTGGAACCTAAACCAATGGATTAAAATCACAAGAAAGAAAATTCTGACTAAACATTAGGAAGAACTTTCTGATGGCCATGTTATCAAGGATCCTTTAGGAGGTTGGGCTAGATGATCCTTGGAATCCCTTCCAGCTAAATGATTCTTTGATTCTAAGCAGGAATATCTCCCAACCCTCTCTGAAGGTGCTGGAGATTGATCTTGGATGCTCTATCACATTCTAGCTGGCACTGGTGGGAGATGAATTCTAATAGCATCTGTGGGGCCACAGGCTCCTCTTATCCCTTCTGTAGATCAACAGTCCAAAAGCAGATTGCAGGTTTCCAGGTTCCACAGAACTCCCATTGAGGCAGCACTGAAAGAAACTTCTCTCTTTGATAGTACAAGTCCAGGGAAAGATAACCTGCCCTTTCTTATCCCGTCATAGTTCTGTTTTCTTTCTTTGTTTGTTTGTTTTCTCCACAGATAGTCTAAAATAAAATCCTTCCAACCCCCGGCCTCATCCTTGAATGATGAAACTGTCGGAATGCGGAAAGAGCCTGCGTCTGTCCACTGGTGGGATCTTCAAGTAAACTGTTCTGCCAGCAGCAAAAAGAGACACCCGGAGTTTAGTGAATCTTGCAAACAATTTCTTTTGGAAAGACTTGAAGACACAGCAGCGTTCTTAACTCCCCCCCCCCCCCCCGCTCCCTCCTCCAGTGTTAACCAGACACGCGCATAGCCAACATGTACGGATTGCGGGGAAGGGTGGGGTTCTTTAACTGAAATATTAACATTTGTCTTTTATTTTATTTTATTTTATTTTGTATGGGTTAATTCATGCGCATGTTTTATGTTGCCACCCAGGAATACGCTAATGTTATGATCTGCGATCTAGGGAAGGTCGTCATTATGTTCCCACAAGAGAGGTCAGTGATTTAGATTTCACAAGTGTGAACATTTTTAAGGCTGAGATTATATGCATTTCACAATTGCACTTGCACAAGGACACAAGCTGGTGCCAGGGCACCAAGTTCCGGCATTCCTGAGAAACGGGGGCTTTTCAGGTTTCTAGCCCTTAAGCCTGTAAGGATGGAGTTTTTGAATCTGAAAATCTAGAGCACTGAATAGAGTTGCGAGCGGTTAGGAGGCAGGGTTTCGGTGTCCTGTAAAACTAACGGTGTAAGCAGAAACAATTATGCAAAAGAGGCAAATATGTATATATAAATATGCAAATGACTTTTCATTTGCATGCCATGTCTAGGTCAAAGAATTTAGCTACTTTTGCTGCAGAACATTGATTTAATTAAGGGCAAAAAATATACATCCTGACTATGGGAAGCCAGTCAAGGTCATAAAGTCTTGTTCCAAGTCTGTGACAGATTTGTTTAGTGTTAGGGTTTCCCCTCTCCTTTTTTGCAGACACAGTCTCACAGTTACATTTCACAGTAAACTCATGTGTCATGTGACTTTTCTCTTTTTGAGTGTGGAATTGTCAACATTTCTTTTGTGTGGATGTGCTCCCCCATGTGTCCGGAACTGAGAATCCCTACTCGCTGGAGGACCATTGGTTTTCAATAATTTCTCTGCAGAGTGGACATTCTCTGATGCCACCTCACGGCACATTCTAGAAGAAATGTTTGCCAACTAGAATTGATCACTTTGTGGTGAATTTACCCTCTCAAAAGTGAATGAGCAGGCGTGAATATCGGGCCCAGGGTACTTTGCAGCAGCAGACGAAGTGTAATTATTATTATTTTTAATTGGGGGGAAAACCCTAACACTGAATAATATAACTCAGCGACAGTTATGAGGGGCTAACATTTTATTGATTTTTGTTTTTTATTGTTAGCTGTGTGTATGCTTTAGAACTGGTTTATAAATAAGTCAGGACTGTATTCAAGTACGGTAAGTCCTGCCTAGAGAAGACCCACTGAAATTAATTCATCTAAGTCATGTCTGTTGACTTCAGTGGGTCCTACTCAGATTAGCATTGAGGCCACCCTTAATGTGTGGCTTCCTGCATTTCTAAGCTGGCCCACAAAAAATGCTGCCTTTTCAGAGTCTGTGGTCTGGATCCTGCATTAACTTGGAACTGATGACAGACTTTTTGCAGCAGGATTGTCAGTTGGTACAGTTCTGCAGTTCTGGATCCCAGCCTTTGCACTGTAAAGAGTTACGTATATTCTTTTATTATTGTTGCTATTAATTGCTTTTTAACGATGCCCTCTTCGTTTTGGAAGACTGACTTCGCCCTGCCTGCCCAGATCTGATAGTTTTTGGTGTTCAAAACAGCACAGGGAGGTGGCCAGTTGCTTAATTTTAATTTTAAACTGTAGGGCAATTTTCCATACAGAGTGCTGAATTTTTATTATTTAAAAAACAGTAATAGAATAGAAGGGTAAAATGCAGGATAGAATCATGAGAGGCATGGCATTAGAAGCAGCTTGAGAGATACCTCTTTGATTCTCAGGGAGCTGCTCCATAGCAATTCATCTCTCTTCCCAGGGAACTGTGTCTGTGTGAGGAGTCTCCTTAATAACTCTCAGCACCCTTAAGAAACTACAGTTCCCAGTATTCTTTGTGGGGTGGAAATCACGACTGCATAAAGTAGTGTGGTGCTGTCTTAAATTTATAAATGGAGCATTATTTAATTGGCAGCCATGCAGACCACCAGCCATGGGCTCAATACCCTCCTTGTTTGATTTCAGAAGCAAGCCACAGTAGTAGTAGTAATTTTTATTATTATTTATACCCCACCCATCTGACTGGGTTGCCTTGGCCACTCTGGGCAGCTTCCAACAGAACAGTGGCGTAGCGTGGGGGGTGCAGGGGGAGCCGGCCGCACCGGGCGCAACATCTGGGGGGGCGCTCACACTCGCAGCTCTCTGCCCCTACCTGGCTCACTCACTCTCTCTCACTGCAGTGCTGGCTGTGCGAATCCGATCCGAGCCGCTGGGTCGCCGCCCACTGTGAAGGGGGTGGGTGCCAGGCGTGCGGTGCGGAGAGAGAGTGAGGGACTATCTGGGGGAGGGACAGTGCAGCGGCCGCCCTGCGCAGCACTGAGCGCGGGAGAGAACCACACCAGACCAGGCAGCAGCAAGAAGAAGCTGGCGGCGGCGGCAGGTTAGGGGGCGCAAATTACTTGCCTTGCCCCGGGTGCTGACAACCCACGCTACACCGCTGCAACAGAATATAAAAGCACAACTAGAGTAAAGCCAAGTGATGTCATTGGTCTGGTTAGCTCAGTATTGTCTGTTCTGATTGGCTGCAGCTCTCCGGTGTTTCTAATTGGGGGGGAATTTTCTTCAAAATTGCATTCTAATACTATTTTTAACTTTTCGACATACCAGGGAGTGAAACTGGGACCTTCTGCCTGCAAAGGAAGCTCTCTACCACTGAGGGTACTAGCAGTCATGTGCAGCCTTGATGCACATGTGTGAATCCGTTTTGTTTCCAGTGGGGACCTAAATGCACTAATCTTTCTTCTTCTTCTCTGGATCGTATACACAAAGCTGCTGCTTTTCACTTTTCAAGCTTAAAAAGATTCCTCATTACATTAAGAGGATTTTATTTTAAAAATTGGGAAAGGGGTTGGCACGTACGGGAAAAAACCTTACCGGAACAACTCATAGTTTGAAAAACACAGCTGGCCTGCAAAATGTAGCAATAAGGCATGCAGCCTAGGAACACTGGGCCCAGTTCATACAGGCATCGTCTCGCTTTAGTCCCATCGAGATCACCTTGACTTCAAGTTAGATATGAAGAACTTCAGCCCCGTTGATTTCAATAGAAGTTAACTATACACATCTACTCAGAAGTATGGCCCATAGTTTTCAAAGTGTGTTTAACCACAGCACTCACCTGTGTTTTCAAGCTGACAGGAGCGGCATTCATTTGACAATGTGATAATCAGATTTTCTTTTTCTTTGCATAACTCCGTTTTACTTCTGCTTTAATAATAATAAAAATGTTTCTACTTCCCTTTCCCCTGTTACTTACTTTTAAGGAATAACATGCATAAAAATTGAGAACGGTGTCTTTGACTTCTCCTTTCTTAAATATGAGGAGGATGAGTTGGAAGAATGGGCTGTACTATTTTGAGCCAGATATGCAGGTACCCTTGCAAGCAATTCGTGTGAAAATGCTCCCGCCTGTCAAGTGTTTTTAGCCAGTGAGTGAAGAGTGATTGAGTGATTTAGACAGCAGGTGGCAGGAATCCCTGGGGGTCCTCAACGACTCCTGATTTTACACACACCCACACACACACACACACACACACACACACCCTTCAATGCACTTTTTCTGCTTTTTTATTTCCTAGGCGGAAATTAAGCAGGTCCTTTTTTCACATTGAAAGGCAATCATGATGAGAAAAGGGGATGTGTTTGTGTGTGAGAGAGTGAGTGAGCAGGGGAAGGCCAGAGAGAGAAAGGGCTGGTAGAGAGAGGGGGCCTTCTGGTTCTGGCAGCACCCCAGCATTAACTTGCATGCCCCAAATGATCACCCATGGAAGAATGCATTCCTCACACCCAGAGAAAGGTTTCCCATCTCTGACCCAGTTACTGTATTTTTCGCCCCACAGGGCGCACCGGCCCATAGGGCGCACCTAGTTTTTTTTGGGGGGAAATAAAGGGGGAAAAAATTTCCCCAGCCCCCAGAACAGGCAGCGCCGGGCTCCCATGGCTTGCAGAGAGCTGTGCGAAGCCTGGAGAGCATTGAAGCGCCATGAGACCCCTCTCGCTCTCCAGGCTTCAGCGAAAGCCTGCATTCGCCCCATAGGACGCACACACATTTCCCCTTCATTTTTGGAGGGGGGAAAGTGTGTCCTATAGGGCGAAAAATACGGTAATTGCCTAGTGAGGGAGTTCCTGGGGATGAGGTTCTGTTTTGAATTGATGCAATTTTGAAAGTGCCACCGTCAAGGGTTTTTTGGTTTTTTTTGTGGGGAGAGAAGAGGGCTGAACAAGATAAAGCAAGACCACACAGAAAAATTACAAACTTTATTGAATAGTTTCAAAACTTGTGACGTGGAGGGGAGGTGGAATTCATCTGAGAACCCCCATTTGGAAAGCCTGCTAAAATGACCCTGGGCATCTTTGGAGGCTGACAATGCTGCGTTAATGACGCTTTTGTTTTTCAAAGGGGGGAGTGGATGGGGGGGGGGAGAAGTCAAATAGCCCAGAAGTAACTCTGTTGCTTTGGATAAATCCTAATATAGATACAGAGCCCCTTTGGAAATTGCTTTCTCCTGAATCGGGGGTGGGGGACCTGTGGTACTCCAGACCTTATTGGACTATGATCTCTGCCCATTGGCCATGCTGGCTGGGGCTTATGGGAACTGGAGCCGGGGAACAGGAAGAGGGCCAAAGATTCCCCACTCCTGCTCTGAACGAGCAAAACAAATTGCCCACTCAGGACACTGGTCCTCAAACTGGCTTCCACACTGAGAAGACAGCTAAGGAGACCCTGAGTGCCTGGCAGGGAACCACTGCAGGGGATTATGGGAAATGCTCTAGGCATTAGCAGTTGGCAGATTTGCACACAACAAGGCATGGCCTACCCCGCTGGGCCTCACCAGCTGCTCTTTTTGAGGGGAAAGGCTGGGTTCTTGCTGAGGAGGGAAAGCCTGTGTCTGGGCTACACATCTTCAGCAGGATCAGGGAACCTGTGGACCTTCTCCAGATGTCATCAGCCCCAGCCAGCCCCAACCCATCAGTGGGAATTGGGCCCGTGGCAGCTTCAGGCCACAATTTCCTCTATCTCCACCATACATTTTCAGTAATAGTTAGCTGGCAATCAATACTTTTTAAATTTCTTGGGGGGGGGGGGGTTGTTTATTGCATAAAGATAATTATTGTAGGTTGGATTTTTAACGGAACTACAGTATACAAATATTGTTATAAATAAATCTTCCCTAGCCTGGAGATCTGGGCATCATCAGGAGGGCATCAGGTTGAAGGAGGATGGTAAACATGAAAAACTAGCATCTTTATTGGGGGGCGGGGATTTAGGCTGGAGGCCTTTCCTTCTCACCAGCTACTTTTCTACATGCAGGGATGTGTGTGTATGTGTGCGCGCACGGGTGCGTGCATGGAGGAGCATATTGTTACACGAGCGGTCTGAAGTGGCACAGCTCTTGAAGTCTTTAAGGGGAGCAAAGACCAGCTGCAACCCCTCTGCTCCAAATGATAGACTCCTTCTGGGTTCAGCATGGCTGGGAATGATCTGGTCCAACATCATCAGGAGGTCCAGACTTGATGTATAATTTTTGTTTTCACCCAACAGCACATGGGTGTTCTGACATGGAGAGAACTCATGCCTGTGGACTGTTTTCACTGTCTGATTTCCCCCTCTCTGCATTTTGAAGCTGAAAAGATTTGTGGCTTTTAGCGTAAATGGAAAACAGCTTTGGAGATGGGGATCCCACTGCCCTCCAGGTGTTGCTGGACTCCAGTTCCCATCAGCCCCAGGCAGCACAGCCTATGCTCAAAGATGATGGGGGCTGGAGCCCAGCAACATCCAGAGGCCTTCAGGTTTCCTACTCCTGCTCTTAATCTTTTGCCAAACCCAACCCCGGCGATCCCACCCTCAAAGCTTGCCCCAACTCTCCACCGCACCATTCCTTTATTCCTTCCCACTTAAAAAGCTCAGAATACATTTACAAATAAATACACGTTTTGCAAGCTGGACAGGTTAACAGAGTTCATTTAAAAACAGTACTTATTTTAAAAAATCCATCAAAACTGAACGGCGTGGTCCAGGAGGGCTCCAAAATGCCAAGTCTCGAGTGCCAGTCTTAGGGAGGGGGGAAACCTCCGGGGTTCTTAAAAGACAGATTGTCTCAAAAAAGACGTTGCTGCTTCTGGTGAAGGAAAGGCTGGTTTTGACATCTTCGGTACATTTCGGTGAGGAAGCCAGCCTGGCTTAGGAAAAACCAAGCTGCGCTTGAATCTAGAATTGCAAAAAAAAGGAGGGGAAACTGGCCTGGGTGCTGTTGTTGATTGGCATCCGTCCGTCTCGGAAGACAATGGAGGAGCCCTAATCTAGCCACATCTGGGGGGAGGTCCAAAAGTTCCCCCAGCCCTGAGCTAATGGCTGCAGCTCAAGCAGGAGGATCAGTTAAAAGTGAGGTGGAGAGGTCAATGTGGTGCAAAAGCACCAGCAGAAGCCCCCAATGGGCTCCACTGGTACATTTGCAGCACATCAACTTCTTTGCCTTCTTTCTCTCCACCTTCTCCCAGTAAGCAGCAGCAACCCACCTTGCAGGGAAGCTGGTGTAGCGGCTCCACCCAGTGTGTCGCTTTTCACAATGACAATTAAAGTATTAGGGCTTGGAACAACAAAAAATACCTCACTACTTATGCTGAGCCTCAGTTTTTCCCATCTGTAAAATGGGTATAATGCTGACTTTCCTCATGGGATAGCACCGATGACAAGCCCAATAGAGATTGTACAATGTTCTTCTCTGCTGCACCGCTCTCTTTTTAAAATCTTTTGTTGGCTTCTGGTTTAAAATACTCTCTTTTTGAATTATGGGTACATCATTTCATAATAAATACTGTTGTAACTTTGTGGCTTGATTAGCCACTACGGACAGCTATTATAGGGGTATTAAAAAACATTTTATAATAAATATCATATAATAAATAAAACGCTGTTAAGAAATTGCCGTATCGACTGGGCCACTTTGAAGGGTTTGGCACAAGACACTGCTTCACTGGAACAGCTCTTGCCCTTGGCCCTCCTTTAAATTATTATTTTAATATTTAATAGAATTTCTCCACCGCTTACAATTTTAAAAAATCTCTAAGCAATAGAGATTGATTTGCTAAGTACAACCAAGTCAACATTGCATGTGTTTATGGGGCTCTTGCATTTGCAAAGCACCCCTCCGCAACCACTTTTGCGAGGTAGGCTGGTTATTCCCATTTTACAGAAAGGCAGATTTGACTTGCCTCAGTGGGTCCACTGGTCCACTCACCCAGGTCTCCTGGATCAAAACTCACCTCTTTTATCTGTTGGAACAGCACAGGCTCTGAACCCTACAGCTCTCACTGGCTACCAGTATGCAACCTGACCATGCAGCTTTTTGCCTTTTTTTTTTTTTTTGCATAGATAGACGGGCTGTCCTGTTAAAACCAGGGTAAGTGGCAGGTGGATGGGAAAAGAGCAGGGTTCTGGCAGCCCTGCCCATTAAGAAAATCCCATCGAAATCCAAATGAAAACTACAAGAGGGGAAGGGTGCCCCTTGTCATTCCCACATCTTCCTTTTCGTCCCTCTGCTCGGCCGCGTGTCTAGCGTACGCGATGCGGTGTCAGAAGTGGATGGCATGGGTGAGTCTGGAGCGGCATCCTCTCGTGGTCCGTCTGTAGGAGGGGGTTCTGGGATGGGGTTGCAAATGCCGCCTGGGGTGGCCAGAGGAGGCACCGGGCATGGAATGGCTGGGCCTGCCACGGGCTCTGAAGGCATGCCGGGCACGTGACCGGGCGGTAGAGGGGTCCCAGCTTCCGGCGGGCCCCAAGGTGGGTTGCTGTTCCCCTGGTACGAGCTGTACCCAAGGGACGCTCCTTGCGACGGAGACCTCTGGCCGGCGAAGACTGCCGCGATGGCTGCCATGGTGGCCGTTTGCCTCCCCAGGAACTCGCCCAGGTCGTTGTGGGAGCGCTCAATGGCGTTGACCATCAGCTGGGCCGTGGCCCTGTCCTGGCGCCTCTCCTGCTTCCTGTGCTGCCTCTCCTCTTGCCTGGCCCTGTCAAAGGCCTTCAGGTCCTGGCGGTGCAAGCCGCGCATGGCGTCCAAAAGCATGGAAGGGGCCCTCGAAGCCGACTCCACCAGCTGCATGCTGGTCTCAAGGCGCTGCTTCCGGTTCCGCATCCGCCGGTTCCGCATGCGCTCTGCGTTTGTGAGGGGCCTCCGGAACTCTTGAATGGGGCCTGCATAGGTTGGGGGACACACAAAAACATAAAGTAGATTCCCTGTTTGGGACACGTGTTTAATAATAATACAGTGGTACCTCTAGTTGCGAAATGGATCCGTTCCGGAGCCCCCGTTCACAACATGAGCAGAACGCAACCCGCATCTGCGTGTGTCGCGATTCGCCGCATCTGCGCATGCGCGTCATGTCATTTTGAGAGTATGCATGAGTGGCGAAACCAGAAGTAACCCTTTCCGGTACTTCCAGGTCGCCACGGGACGCAAACTGAAAAGACGTAACCTGAACCGAACGTAACAAGCGTATGACAACAACAACAAAAACAACAACAACAACAATAATAGAACATTAAAAACATGATAAAAGATCAAACACTAAAAAGTTCCACAGGGCGGGCGTCACTACTGAGAAGGCATGTCCAAAGTCTGCTTTGGGGGCTTAATCTGGCCCACTGGTCAGTTTAATCTGGCCCCTGTGGCAGTTTATTTCCTGGAGTAAAATCCTAAAAAAAGCTCAACAATTTGTCAACAACTTTGGTTGGCCCTCACGTGTGTTCACTTTATCAAATCTGGCCCTCTTTGAAACAAGTTTGGACACCCCTGTGTAGCTTCACTTCTTGCAGTGAGGGAACCGGCAGAAGGCCCTCGGAGCTGGACCTCAGTGTCCAGGCTGAGCAATGAGGGTGGAGACGCTCCTTCAGATGTACAACACCTAAGCCACTATGCCTCTGGCTCCCCGCCCCACGAAGGCACCGTTCTCTTAACAACAATGCAAAATAGGCCCAAACAGTTGAGACAAAGAAGTGTAGGCCTCAGAAGCACCATACCTGCCTTTCTTTGCAGGAATCTCTGGATTGGTTCCTAATCTGGCCTTCTAACTGGGAACTGCAATATAAAAGCTCTCTGTATCCCAGGTCCTCATCCATTCAGAGATTTTGACGGCAAATTCAGGAGGAGTTCCTCAGCCAGAGCCTGCTTCTCTTGGCTTCACCTCCTGTCCTCCTTTGGTTCCCTTTTCCCTTGCAGTGTGCGACACTTCTCTGGATACTGACTGCCGGCTGTTAACTTGAGCAACATGGAATTTTTGTTTTGCTCACCTGAACTGACACAAAAGCAGGATTCCACCAGTCCCCCCTCCCAGCCCCAAAACTCGAGGCCACATAGTATTATCACTGTTGTTGTTTTAGTCCCTTCACTCTAAGGTCCCAGGGCAAATAAGACACAATATCAAAACAGTTTAAAACAACTGAAAGAAATAAGGTGGGTCCAAAAAATAGGCATATCAAGCTTCAAAAGCTTGAATTGGAATTACAGCAAATAGCATATAGACCAGGCATAGGCAGCCTTCGACCCTCCAGATGTTTTGGACTACAATTCCCATCATCCCTGACCACTGGTCCTGTTAGCTAGGGATCATGGGAGTTGTAGGCCAAAACATATGGCAGGCCGAAGGTTGCCTATGCCCTATATAGACAGTTGTATAGTTATGCCAAGTGAGAGAGGAGCTCCAGGTTTATGCTGCTCATGACCAAAGTTTGCAGCGTCTGGGACCTTTTAGTTTAGAGAAAAGACAAGAGGTGACAGGACACAAGTTTGTTGACAAAGTCGATAAGAGAAAAGCTTTTCTCCCTCTCTCATATCACGAATATCCAATGAAACTGAATGTTGGGGGACTCAAGTACTTCATGTAGGGCAAAGTAGAACTAGGGAACTTGGTCCTCCAGGGGGCAGTGAAGGCCCCCAACTTAAATGTCTTTAAAGGAGGATTATACATGTGGCGTTTGCCCTCCTAGGTGTGTGACATCATACTGGGTTCATAAGGAAAGGGTTAACTAATTGTAAAATGACTAACCAATGGGAACCCAAGGGGAGGAGTTGGAGTTTGAGTTAGGGTGGTTGAGAAGACAGTCTGGAGTTAGAAGAGACAGAGAGGATAAGTCTGTGGGTTGGGCTAGTCCGGTGTGAGAGAGTGAGAGAATTTGTTAAGAGGAGTCAGTCAAACAGTTGAGTCAGATGGTATTAGGAAGGTATAGGCCGGTAAAGAAACTAAAGTTAAGATACTGACAGGAATTTTATCTGAGAAACCATAAACTTGTTAATGTTTATAAAATAAACTTGTTTATTTGGTTCGATTTTAACAACTGTCTGGACTCAGTGTTTTACCCGAGAGTAACGGGTTGGTGGCAGCGGGGAAGCGAGCACAGTGGCGGCACAGGGATCAATAGACTGTCAAACGTCCGGGGACCTTGTGTGAACGCCACAATACCCAATCAAGGAGGGCAAGGCTACTAGCCCTCACAATCGGAAGCAGCATGCTTCTGAATGCTGGAAACCCCAGGAAGCAGAGTGCTGTTGTGTTCAGGTCCCACCTGGAAGGTTTCCTGCAGGCATCTGGTTGGCCACTGTGAGAAGAGGAGGCTGGACTTGATCCAGCAGAGATCTTCTTATGCTCAAAACAGATCCAACAACCTGTAGACTCCCCCCTTCTCCAGAGACAGAGGTCTGATTCATGCCATAGACCTTGAAGGACCAGAGACGCCTTAGACTGGGCTCCCACAAAGTGTTCAAAATTAACTCCGGTGTAGCTGCCTCAAAGAATCCTTACCATACGGCCTGAGACTCCTGCCTCCCTCAGGGACAGGTTCCCGGCAGATCAGCGTTCTCCCGGCATTGGGCGGTGCTCTCTCTGGCACAACAGGATTCGGAGCCTGTGGTCCGATGGCAGGAAACGCCACCGGCTGGGCCAGGGGCGGGTACTGCATTGGCAGCGCCACTGTAGGGTAGTGTACCTGTTGCGCCACAGAGGGGTATTGCTGCGGCATGGGGGTGTTCACCACCACCTCATCAAACGTCCACAGAGCCTGGAAAGAGCAAAGAGGAAAGATCAGGCCAGGGAGGGACTGGCGATGCTGCTTGGAAGAAACTCTGTGCCGCAAAACGACTCTCCATTCAAACCAGACCAGACCAACATTACCTACATGTTTATAGTTTTAATTCTACCAATGTCAAATTGTATTTTAGTGATGGGTTTTTCTTTTTTTTATATACAGCCGTACCTTGGTTCTTGAACTTAACCCGTTCCAGGAGTCTGTACGACTCCTGAAACCGTTCGAAAACCAAGGTGCGGTTTCCAATTGGCTGCAGGAGCTTCCTGCAATCAAGTGGAAGCCACGTTGGACATTCAGCTTCCAAAAAATGTTCGCAAACCGGAACACTTACTTCCAGGTTTGCCGTGTTCAGGAGCCAAAACGTACGAGTACCAAGGCGTTTGAGAACCAAGGTACGACTGTATAGAATTTTTATTAAATATTTCTGTTTTATATGTTAGAATATTCATTTAAACAACCTTAAAATATCAATGGGACACGGGTGGCGCGGTGGGTTAAACCACAGAGCCTAGGACTTGCCGATCAGAAGGTCGGCGGTTCGAATCCCTGCAACGGGGTGAGCTCCCGTTGCTCAGTCCCTGCTCCTGCCAACCTAGCAGTTCGAAAACATGTCAAAGTGCAAGTAGATAAATAGGTATCCTTTAAGGTAAAGGTAAAGGGACCCCTGAGCATTAGGTCCAGTCGTGACCGACTCTGGGGTTGTGGCGCTCATCTCGCTTTACTGGCCGAGGGAGCCGGCGTTTGTCCGCAGACAGCTTCCGGGTCATGTGGCCAGCATGACTAAGCTGCTTCTGGCGAACCAGAGCAGTGCACGGAAATGCCGTTTTCCTTCCCGCCAGAGCAGTATCTATTTATCTACTTGCACTTTGATGTGCTTTCAAACTGCTAGGTTGGCAGGAGCAGGGACCAAGCAACGGGAGCTCACCCCATCATCAAAGGGCTCCCTTTACCTTTACCTAAAATATCAATGACTTCCCTTCTTCTCTTTCCATGGTTCATTTTGCATACTGTAAATTGCTGCGTATTTTACATGAACTAAACCATTCAGTATTCCAATATCACATCCGTCAAAACTTATTTACACTGTTGAATTTATCTTAATGCTGCCAATGTTTTCAAATGTACACAATTTCTCCCTATATATTCAATAAACATTTTCCAATCTTCTTTAAACATATGTTCTTCTTGTTCTAAGGCATTCAGCCCTGTTGGATTGGACAAAAGGTTCGTCTAGTTTGGTTTCCTGTTCCCAAAAGGGGCAAACAAACTTTTGGAAACCCCTGATGAAGCCTCTGATGCAAGAACCCACCACTGTTCTCCATCCCCCAGCAACCGGTGTTCAAAGGTACACTTCGTCTGAGCATGGAGGCTCCTCAGCTGTCATCAGCAGTATACACACACACACTTAATGGTTTTCCTAAATGCTTTCATTAAAGCTGGTCCTGTTTCTTACATTATTTCACAACCGTACAAACACACACAAAGTTTGCAGTCTGTTAGGGCTATTCACACATTACGTTCAGTGAGTGTACAACCAGTGTACAGAAACTGCACATACACTATCCCTATGTAATCTTCAACGAGTGTACAGTCTGTGCATTCCTCCAGGATTTCCTTCTGGTCTAGCATTTTGTTTTCACATAATGGGGTGTGGGAAATAAGTTGTCTCTTCTTTCCCCGCCCCCATTTTATTAGAGAACCTTTAAAAAATAATAATTACCTGCTGCTCTTTTCTCTGGGCTTCTCGCTGCCTCATCAAGAAGTCTTCCGACAAGGCGACTGCTTGGGCGCAGGTTTCTGGGCTGTGCTCCCGGACCCAGTTCTGGATTTCCTGGGGCAGGACTGTCAGGAACTGCTCCACGACCACGGCCTCCAGGATCTGCTCCTTGCTGTGCCTCTCGGGCCTCAGCCACTGGTGGCAGAGCTTCTGCAGCTGCCGGCAGACTTCCCGGGGCCCCTCGGCCTCCTGGTAGCGATGGCATCGGAAGCGCTGGCGCCGCACCTCCATGCTGACCGTGTCATCACCAGGGGTTTCCTCCTTCACACTCCCATAGCTCCTTCGCTCTCGGTGCCCTGAGCCGCCGTAGACTGGCTGGGCTTCCCGGCTGAGGCCCGGCAGGCTCTGGGCTACCCACCCTCCGGGGGGCCACTGGCTCGGGTTGGCAGCTGCCTCATAGGAGGTCTGGAATGAATTGGTGTCCCACTGCAAGGGCTTGTGCAGTGGTGGGTTCTGCCACCCTGGCTGGGGATAGAGCACTGCCTTGGGGAACTCCTGCCTCTGGGCCTCCCAGTGCTGCTGCAGACCCTCGTCCGGCTCCTGCTTCACCTGCTGAGGAGCTTCCCCGGCCAAAAACTCCCGCATGGAGCCAACCGGAAGGAAGCGGGAAGCTGCCCCTCCCCCTAGTTCGTGACCAGATGGGTCTTGCGCCTCCATTTTCATCGCTGGCTGCATTCCTGGTTCTGGAGCACCCTGGAACTGCAGGTGGAGGGCAGCCGTTTCCCCTCTTCCCGTAGCCATATTGTGTCAACCCACAAGGGAAATTCCTGTCTCGCGTCGGAGGTCGGCAAGGCAAGGCCCGTGGGCCCAATCTGGCCACCCGATTGATACCCTCTTGCCTCTCCCCAAAGGCAAAAGCAGGGGTAAAGGAGGGGAGCAGACAGACTTGCAGGGAGAAGGGGGCTTGTTGGCAGGCTCCAGTTGGGGTGGGTGGGGGTGCCTGCCCACCCCCAATTCCTCGGAGCAGGTATTCTGGTAAAACTAGCCACCAAATGGAAGCTTAAGTCCACAGCAGAGATGGGAAATCATCTGGCAGGAGGATAATGCTGTTCTGTTGGTGTCGCAAGGCGAATGGCCCAATCCAAGCAGAGCCTTCAGGGTCTTCAGGGCAAGATACAGGAGCTGGAAATGTCTTCTTGTGCTTTGCACCTGCAGGAGGGAGGGGAATAAAGATTCTTTACTCTTACTGTAGGAAGACTGCTTTCTCCAGTATGAATCCTCACAGAAGGCCTGACTGCAAGCCCAGAGCAGTGACTCGGCCAGAAACATAAGAGGCAGACTCACGGATGGTGCCATTCTGCTATGTAGGGAGTAACTGAGTAACTCTGTAATTTGAAAGAGATGCTTGTTCCTGTGTTCTGTACAACTGCGTCTCTGATGCTGAGTGAACCTTCCCCTGTTTGGGCTCAAGTCAATAGGCATGGGCAGGTGGCAGGAATCCTCGTCCTAAGCTGTTTAGGGCTCTAAGAAGTCGCACCCAACACTTTGATCAGGGATTGGAGACAGACCTGAAGGCCAGTCCAGCTACAACAGCAATAGAGTTATTTGCTCCAAAGTTCAGGAGTATTGCACCAAGGGGGGAAATTTAAGGCGGCGGCGGCGGGGGGGGGGGGGTGTTAGACCAGGCAGCATGGGTCCTGCAAACCGCCCAAGGATTCCAGTTGCCAGCACCCAGCTCTGCCAAGTCCAGAGAAATGTTCCACATTTTTAACTAAGGGGGGGAGTATCTTCATCTTCACATCCCATGAAACACACTTTCTGCACAGCTGGAAGTCATAAATCAGGACAGACACAGAGGCCGTCCGCAAAGAAGTGGAATGAGAGGCGACAGGAAAAAGGTGTGCTCAAAGATTGTGTGAATGATCACAAGAGGGCTGTGGCAGGAAGCAGGTGGCATGCATGGAGGGCAAGGGCAAACACACTGGATTATGCGGGAACGCAGGAAGTTGCCTTACACAGAAGCAGGTCTCCAGGGTTTCAGGCAGGGGTCTCTCCCCCCCCCCCCGAGATGGTTTTTGCTCCAGTCAGAGGCAATAATGCATCTGAATACGAGTTGCTGGAAACCACAGGAAGGTGTGTGGGGAGGTGCTCCTGTGTTCATGTCCTGTTCCTCGCAGGTTTCCCCACAGGCCAGCCACAGTGAGACTAGAATGCTGGACTAGATGGGCCGCTGGCCTGATTCAGCAGAGCCTTCCTTATGTTTGTATATTCTTAGTTCCCAGGGACTGAACCAGGGCCTTCTGGAGGCAGAGCAGATGTCCCACCACTCAGCTGTGCTCCTTGGATAACATATGGGGACTGAAGGAAGTGTCAAGGGGTGTGAGCGGAGAGACAGAAGTCTGAGGTGGGAGGGAGCGAAATCTGCAGACCAGCTTTCTGCAAAAAACCTAGCAAAGAGCTGCCAGGTGTTGGTGAATCTTCCTGCTTATTCTCTGGCTGAGGGCCCCAACCTCCTTTCAACATTTTGATACATGCAAACAGGGGTTGGGGTAGGGGGCTGCAGCGGTTTGACAGGAGTGCTGGACAGCTCTCTTAGAGCCACACAAACCCCGCCTGCAGCTGCACGGCTCTTAGCCCCCATCCGCTGAACATAATCTCATACAGTAGTTGTTTATGTGGCATCTCTAACGCTTTCTATGCAATTGACAGGCGATGCGAAGAAAGGAAAGAGGGACGAGGAGGGCAAAGAAAACGCAAGCGAAAACCCAGTTTAAAAATTGGGCAGCGCCGGTGCCCTTCCTTTCTTCCCAGGATTATGTCATTCCCTCTCTGTCCCGTCCCCCCGCCTCCCGTCCTTGCAGAATCTGCACTACACCCCCCCCATCCATCCCCTCCTGGCTCTGCTCTTGAATTGGGTGGAGAAGCAGCACAGAGCCCCTCCTGCCCCACTTGATCTGAGTGAAAGGGATTTTTTTGGGGGGGTGGGGAGCTGTCTCTTTAGGGGGGGCTACATGCTTGCCCCCTCCCCCTGTCTCCTCCATCCCTCGCTCTCCCCCTCCTCCCCTGCTCATCTCCCCCCTCTTTCCGCCCTCCCCCACCCCGCCCCGCAGATCATCTCGACACACCTCTCGCCGGCTGCAGACTCCGGATCCTCCCGCAGCCCCCCAGGCGCCCGAGTTTTAGATGCAGCCCGAGAGGCTGCCGCTGCTGCTGCTTCCCACCCAAGCCAAGAGGAAAGCACAGGAAGAGGAAACTCGCCCGACCTCGCACTTCCGGGTTTGTCTAGGCGCAGGGGGCGCCGCTCGTTTTAACCCTTCAGACGGGAAGCGAAGGAAAAAAGGAGGGAGCAGCGTCTTTCGCTGCGATCTGTGAGTGAGTGGATTTCTCAAGGGCCAAAGGCTTTGTTGTGCATAGTCAGGGCCTTATTTATTTATATAAAGGAGCTTGTTCCCCTTCAAAGTTGGGGCTTTATTGTCCCAACAGGCTTTTGGGAACTGACTGTTTTTAAGGAAAGGGCTGGTGCTGTGATGTTTTTAATGGTACTTATCTGTATGTTTTAACAGATTATTTGCAATGTTTAATTGCTTTTTAGGGTTGTCCCCCCACACACACGTTTTTAGCTCAAAATAAAAAAAATCCTTCCAGTAGCAGCTTGAAGACCAACTAAGTTAGTTCTTGGTATGAGCTTTCGTGTGCATGCACACTTCTTCAGATACGTTTTTAGCCGTTTCTGTTTTATCTATGAGCCACCTTGAGTCTCATCAGGGAAAAAGTCAGGGAATAATAATAATGATACTGTAATGATATTTAGAACCTACCCCAGTCCTGTGGTTGTAATTCTCCCCCTACCCATTTATTTAAAAAAAAAAAAAGATTGTGACCTGCCCTGAGACCTTAAGGTGAAAAGTGTGCAGTAAATCAAAACAACAAGGATTGCTTTATTTCATTTTGACATGGTGGAACCCTGAAATCGCTTGAGATCCTGTTCTGCATGTCCACTGCAGTGCACCTCTGAAAGAAATAGGCCTCATTGCTCAGAGGCTTCGGAAACACTGTTGTCATGGATAGAAATCTAGTTATTGATTATAAAATGCAAATAAGGGCAGAGGATCTGCTGTTTGGGTTGCTTTCAATCAAGGAAACACAGGTTGTGACAGAACACCCTGCATTGGTTAATTGCATAGAATCTCCTGCCTGGAGGACGAAGGGAGGAAGTATTTTTAGAATTTAAGACAGTAAGACTGCCTTTATTTCCTGCCTACCCACACTTATTGGTGGGAAAGCCCGTCAATTGGATAATGCACTTGGAGACTGCTGCAAAGTACTGTCTAAAAATTATGTTATTCATAACAGGACTCTAATGCCCACTTTCCATCTCAGGCAATTAGCCATTAATTCTTTTGTCATTTATTAGTTTTATGTAAAATACAAATTATTTCCCCCCCTATGGTTATGTTTTAATAAGAAAATAAGTTATAGGGAGAGTAGACCCATTTTAATGAACCTATTGATTTTAATATGTTCTTAGTAGGACGAACATTGTATACAACTGTTCAGTTTACACACTGTGTATATCTGTCCCCGGTTCTTAAACGTTTTGAAACGAAGAGCAGCTACTTCTGAGCAAATCAGTTGTTTATGTCCCACCCCACACAATCTGCTTTCTGAACAGGCTCCAGTTATTATGGGCACCTGTAACAAAACGTTGCAGCATGAAATGATCCCTGTTCACCAGGCTACTGCATTTCATTCCTGCCCCGCTGATTTTCTGTACTCCCCCCACCTTCCACAATCGTTACCATTCTGTGACTACTTGTCCTACCCGACCCACACCTTTTTTCTTTTTCTTAAAGGAATATATATTCCAGGGTTTTCACTGCAAAACTTTCTGATAATGCATAAATTCTCTTCTGACCAATGTACTATGGATACCTTGAAAACAGAGGAGACGATCACATGAATTTTCACCATGTTTAAAAAATAATAATCAGAAACTAATCTGGAGAACTGCACAAGATCAGAAAGATAAAAACTGAAATTGAAATTGTTAGATTCATCCATCCCTATCCAAATTTTGGTGTCTGCTAGGCAGACTCACTCAAGAGGATCAGAGGGCATCCCTTCCAGGGTCCGATGGGTCTTCATTATACGGCCTGTGGTAGGCGGTGAATCCCCTTCTTCTTTTCCTCTTTTCCCTTCTAGGAGGTGAGAAGAACCTTGCAGAAGTAAGTGGATCCTGCTCATCTCCATTAATATCACTCTGTGACACTGGAAAAGGTCCAGGAGGAAACGACATAAAACCCGACTCTTCAAGCTCTTAGGATGTGGCAAAAGGTTCCAAGAAGGGAGCAGGAGCTGAGGTGTGTGTCATGTTCCTGAACATATCCCAGCTGCAATACGTAACTTCAAGGTGTCATTTGGGTTCATGATAAGAGGCTAGAAGGAACATTTTACTTTTGTCAACAGCAGCAATCATCTTTTTCTCCTCCACATTTTTCTTACATTTTGTAAGTAATGCAGCCAAAATTGAAAAGCTCCGAGCAGGATGGTATCACTTGATTTTATTTCTCCATTTGAGTAGATATAAGTGAGGAGATTCAGAGACCTGGGGCTGCTCCTTTGGCCCTCAGATGTCTGGCTCTGGAGTCCCTAGTAAGGAGGAATCATCTGCCCTCTGTGACTCCATTCCTCTGTGTGTGTCTCTCGGCTTTCCTCCTCTCAATTGCTTTCTTTTGCTGCACTCAGAAATTCTGCAATTGAATGGGTTAATGTTTATTTTCCCCATCAGGTGTCAGCTAAGGGAGACATTTAAGAATCCAATGGATTTCCTATCAAAGTTGAAGAGGTGGATCTCAAAATTCTGCATTAAAAATCCAATTCTGTATGTTGGGATGAAGGATATCAAAGGTAGGATTACTGCAAGGATTTTACACCCGACAATGTATTAGTCTGAACATTCCAGGCTCTTACTGTGTTTTATTTACTTTTCCCACAAACAGCAATAGGAGCAGCAGTTTCCTTCTGGTTATCCTGGAGGTTTTCAAGGGACAGACATTTGTTAGGTTGCCTACATTGATTTCTTCTCTCTCATTTCAATGTAAGCCTCTGAAAGCCCCAAATGGGCAATTCACATGGAGAGATTCAAAGGAGGACCATTTTTCTCCTCTTGCCCCCATCCATCCCTCCTCCCCTTCACTGCATAGAAGAGCTGAGTGAATATTTTCTGGGCTGTTTTGCTTCTTGTAGGGTGACTTGATTGACAGGAGGGATACAAACCTGCTGGGGAAGGAATTTATTCAGAGGTGAGCCTGGCAGAAAGGGGGGGAGGATCCCAATCCTGAATGAAACGTGAGGAATCCCCATTTATCAGAGAGGAAATTTGGTTATTCCGAGTGTTTCTTGGATCAAGATGTCCGTCTCTGCCTCTTGGCTGATTCTGCCTCTCTTCTCTTTCCCTCATCTTCTCCCCAACAGCAAATGTCACGCTGCATCCAGACACAGCCCGTCAATGGCTCCTCCTGTATGAGGATCAGAGCAATGTCATTTACAGAGACAAATATCTATTGGTGCCCAATAATCCTGAGAGATTCAACTATTGGCATTGTGTGTTGGGACATCAGGGATTCACAGCAGGCAGACATTTCTGGGAGGTCGCAGTGGAAAGTGCAGAAGGGTGGGTTTTAATGGTCGCCAGCAAGTGTGAGTGGAGAAGGGGCTGCTTCAAGGTAAGGCGTGAGGGAAGGATCTGGTGTGTGAGGATGGAGGAGGATGAGTACGAGGTCTCCAACTGCCGTCGTTACTCTCCTCTGTCCCTGAGTGAGAAGCCCAGGAGGATCCGGGTGACTCTGGACTATGAAGGAGGATGTTTGTCTTTCTCTGATGCTTACTCAGGAACCGAACTCTACACGTTCTCAGAAGACTCATTCTATGGAGAGACCCTCCTCCCTTTCATTTGGCTGTGGGGAAAAGCCCCCCTCAGCATCTCCTGGGGAGACTAAATCTGCCTCACAAGCCCGGTTGAAGTTTCTCTCCACACCAGAATGACTGAGATGAAAACATTTGCCAGTTTTGACCTCTTTGCAGAGACCTTTCGAGAGGAGTCACAATCAGCAGAAATAAGAAAAGGAAAGAAACCCGGGATTCTCTCTTTCTTTCCTTTTTCCAGAATTTCAGCCTCCACTAACTTTGACCCGCATGTCATTGCTCACCTACACCAACTGTTAAAATACACACATATTCCTAGAAAATAGAACTGCCGCTCTGGTTGCGGATTTTTGGGGTGCGAACAGCACCCCAGAACGGATCATGTCCGCAACCAGAGGTACCGCTGTGTCTCTGAATTCAGCGAAGCCTTTGACTAATTGATCCTCAGGGTCCCTTCCAACTCTGTGTTCCTATGATCTAATTGTTTTTGGGATTGCTTCATAAATCTTTTGTATTAACAATTGGATTCTCTATATCAGGGGTAGCCGATATGGTGTCCTGGATGATGTCGGACTACAACTCCCATCAGCCCCTACCAGCATGGTCAGGAGTCAGAGATGATGGGAGTTGTAGTCCAGCAACATGGCAATGTGTGCCCTATATAAGTCACATGGAGACTTCGCTGTGGTCCCCACCTCAGTTGTGGGATACACCACTAATGAGTGTTTTTTTCAGAATCGGCAGGATCTCCCCCAACCCCTGGCTTTTAGTAACTGGTTTGATATACAGTGGTACCTCTGGTTACGAACTTAATTTGTTCCGAGGTCTGTTCTTAACCTGAAACTGTTCTTAACCTGAAGCACCACTTTAGGTAATGGGGCCTCCTGCTGCCGCCGTGCGATTTCTGTTCTCATTCTGAAGCAAGCTTTCTTAACCTGAGGTACTATTTGTGGGTAAGCGGAGTCTGTAACCTGAAGTGTTTGTAACCCGAGGTACCACTGTACTGTACTTTAATCTTTAGAAAGATGTTGTTTTTCTCTTGCGGGTTTTTGGTGCTCTGTTAATTGTTCATGATCTTATGCTGTTTTTATGGTTTTACAATAGTTTTTTGGGGGGTGGGGAGGACAGCTTTTGTATTGTTTTCAAACAATTTTATTTGTATTTTATGGATTTCAATTTTTGGTTATTTGGGATGTATATGCCAGTAAAAACAACAACACAGTATTAAAGAAAAGCTCCAAAAGCTCCATTGCATGCTGTTGAAGAGCCCCTCAACTTTTTGTGGGTGTATATTGTGATGTGTCATTGATGCAATTATAGTGCCTTAGTCATGGATTTATGCTGGACTGTCCACACATCCAGAAGGGACGTGGGTGGCGCTGTGGGTTAAACCACAGAGCCTAGGACTTGCTGATCAGAAGGTCGGTGGATGAATCACCGCGACAGGGTGAGCTCCCGTTGCTCGGTTCCTGCTCCTGCCAAGCTAGCAGTTCGAAAGCACGTCAAGGTGCAAGTAGATAAATAGGTACCGCTCTGGCGGGAAGGTAAACGGCGTTTCCATGCGCTGCTCTGGTTCACAAGAAGCGGCTTAGTCATGCTGGCCATATGACCTGGTAGCTGTACACCGGCTCCCTCGGCCAATAAAGCGAGATGAGCACCACAACCCCAGAGTCGGTCATGACTAGACCTAATAGTCAGGGGTCCCTTTACCTTTACCTTTATCCACACAATCCACTGTGCTTCAGTAGCTATTCTTCAATATTTCCAGAATGTTTCCCTGTTATTGCCATTTGGAAGGGCGCTCTTGGGCTGCAATGAAAGAGAAAACCCCAGCAGAACATTTCCGGCATGAAAATTTATGGGATTCAAAACAGGAAGCAATTGGACATGGACTGATAAGAAATGAAGAAGTTAGGACCCCTGCAATCTTTTGGAGACACAAAAGGCCTTGAAACTGGGATTGCATGAGTTCGCAGAGAGCACTATGCTGAGATATAATCACAATTACATAATAAAAGGAATATGTATAAATCCTGGGAGTGTTTGCATTTTGTGTTGGAGTGGGATGATTGCTGAGAGCTCCGACTCTGGGTGAATGTGGGCTGGGGATCATAATAAGAAAAAGAAAAACCCATTCTACCCACTATTTTAATATATTCGAAGCTGCCACCCATCTGTCTTGGGAGACAATGGAGGAGTGAGCCTTTGCCACTTAAGTCAAGCTCATGAGGTTACAGTGCCTGCTGGGCCTGTAGAGACCAATACAGTTGTACCTCGGGTTAAGAACTTAATTCGTTCAGGAGATCCGTTCTTAACCTGAAACTGTTCTTAACCTGTGGTACCACTTTAGCTAATGGGGCCTCCTGCTGCCGCCGCGCCGCAATTTCTGTTCTCATCCTGAAGTAAAGTTCTTAAACCAAGGTACTATTTCTGGGTTAGCGGAGTCTGTAACCTGAAGCGTCCGTAACCTGAAGCGTAACCCGAGGTACCACTGTACAGGAAGGGAGAAGGGAGGAACTGCCGTAGGAGAATCCCGCCCGCGCTGCCGGCTCCCCCTTTGCGCAAGCGGCCTCTCCGGAGCGCGCTCCTCCCGGGGACTCGCCCGGCCTCCCTCCGCCTAGGCGGGCTGCAGCCCCGGCGCCCGGGAGCCCCAGCTCTCCATCTCCATAGACGCTGCTGACCAGATCTCGCTGCGGCTGCTCCAGGAAGCTCTGCCCACCGCCGCCGATGCGCCCGGCGGATACGGGAAGAGGGAAGAGCGGAGCCTCGGCGAGGCGCCGGAGCAGAGCCGCCTGGCGGTGGGACGCGCGCACGGGAAGGCGCCGGAGAGACCTCGCAGTGCAGCGCTGCCTGCGCCTGGGAGAGCAAGCGGGGGATCGGCAGCAAAGTGTTGCAGTGCAGGGAGGGTGCCGCTGCTCAGGGTTGCAGCCAGCCATACCCTTTCTCAAGATACTCCATTGCATACCCCTTTCCCCCCAGTTTCCTGTTTCCGTCCCACTCCGCACAGCCAATCTGCTTTCTGAATATCCACCTGTTATTATGGGCACCTGCAACAAAATGTTGCAGCGTGAAACGATCCCCGTTCAAAAGGCCACTGCATTTCATTCCCGCCCCACTGGGTTTCTGTCCTCCCTCCACAATAGTCACCATTCTGTGACTACTTGTCTTCCCTGACCCCAACCTTTTTTAAAAAAGCCCGGTGTTTCAATTACTCAGTTTGTGGGGCGCTGCAAAACGCGAGGTTTTCACTGTACAACTTTGACACAGATTTGGAGGGGGCCCCAAACTTTCTGAGCATGCTCCTGTTATGGGTACCAGCCAGCTATACCCTTTCCCAAGATACCCCACGCAGCCATACCCTTTTCTCAAGATACTCCATTGCACACCCCCTTTCCCTAGTTTTCTGTTTCCTCCCCCCCCCCCCCGCACAGTCAATCTGCTTTCTGTTAATGCTCCTGCTATTATGGGCACCTGCAACAAAATGCTGCAGCGTGAAATGATCCCCATTCACTAGGCCACTGCATTAATTCCTGCCCCACTAGATTTCTGTACTCCCCCCACATTCCACAATAGTCACCATTTTGTGACTACTTGCCCTCCCCAACTCACAACTTTTTTTTTTAATTAAAGGAATATATATTGTTACTCGTCAGTTTGTGGGTGATGCAAAACGCTGGGTTTTCGCTGAAAAACTAGTCGTTGCTGGTTTGAAGTGACCTGGACACTGTTGGATTTTGGGGTGTTAACTACAAACCCCGTGTTTCAGTTACTGGGAGTGGCCTCTGAGACCATATACTTCTTCTTCTTCTTTGGCGATCACTCATAGCTGAGTAAGATTGTCTTCAATAAACACAGTTTTAACAATGAGCCAATTCTGGATCCACACGTCCTTCCACAGTGGGGACATTGGTTTCCAGGCAGGAGTTGATCACTGTGTGGATTTGCCAAGCGTGTCTTCCTCTTAGGACCTTTCTCCTTTGTGTCCTAAGTTTGAGTGTCTTCAAAGCCCATGACACCTTTGATGTAAAGGCTGTTCTCCAATTGGAGCGCTCATAGGCAAGTGCTTCCCAATTGTCAGTGTTTATACTACATTTTTAAAAAAATTGCCTTGAAACAGTCTTTAAACCTCTTTTGTTGACCACCAGCATTATGCTTTCCATTTTTAAGTTTGGAATAGAATAGTTGCTTCGGAAGACGATAATCAGGCATCTGCAGAACATGACCATTCCAACAAAGTTGGTGTTGAAGAATCATTGCTTCAACACTGGTTACCTTTGCTTCTTCCATTACACTGGTATTAATTCACCTGTCTTCCCAAGTGATGTGTAATTTTTTTTCCGGAGACACCATTGATGGAATCTTTCAAGGAGCTGGAGATGGCATTTATAAGTGATCCATGTTTCACAAGCATACAGTAAGGTTGGTAGGACAATAGCTTTGTAAACAAGCATTTTGGTTTCCCTATGAATGTCCCGGTCCTCAAACACTCTGCACTTCAATCGGGAGAAAGCTGTACTTGCAGAGCTCCGACGATGCTGGATTTTGGCATCAATGTTGGCCCTTGTGGAAAGATAACTGCCCAGGTAGGAGAAGCGATTGACATTTTCCAACGTTACACCATTGAGTTGGATTTGTGGTGCTGCAGAGGGGTTATTTTGTACGTGTTGGTGCAGCACTTTGGGTTTTTGTTGAGCGATAGGCCAAGCTTTTTGTAAGCTTCTGTGAAGATATTTAGGATGGTTTGGAGGTCATCCTCTGAGCATGCACACACTACGTTGTCATCAGCATACTGAAGCTCTAGGACGGAAGTTACAGTAACCTTGCTCCTTTCAGCCTACTCATATTAAAGAGCTTTCCATCTGTTCAATATATGATTTCTACTCTGGTGGAGAGTTTCCCTTCGACAAAGTGTAGGATCATGGCAATGAAAATAATGAGTAGAATGCGCCAGGCACATGATTTTGAGGGGGTGCGAGCCAGGCGCCCCCTTGCAGGGATCCCACCCCGCCTGGTGCCAGGGGTCTTGTCACCACACCCCTGGCCCCCTCATGGAATGGCAGTGTTGGGGGGGAAGCACTAGCCAAGGGCTGCATCAGAAACCTGATATGGAAAGGTGAAGTAAGTTAAAATCATATGGGTTAGATGATCCTTGGAATCCCTTCCAACACTACAATCCTATGATTCTATGAGAAGCAAAGATCAGTGCAATAAGCATGACAATACTGCCAAGGTTTTTGGTTTTGTTTCTTACTCTTCCTCTTCTTGGTTGACTTGAGGAATTGAAAAGTATGGATAATTTTATTTGGCAAAGTAAGTTTCCCAGAGTGGATAATGTTAATATGCAAACTGTCCCACAGAAGAGAGGATTGGCAGTACCTGATTTAGCTAAGTAGTGAGAAGCTGCTTGGCTAATTTTGTTAAATATATCTCAGGAAAAGGAACTCTTTCAGTTGGAAGAGTTATTCATAAATTCCCCACTGGCCAAGATACTAGGGATACCTAGGAAAGACAGAGGAGACCTCATGAATTTTCATCAGAACATTTAAAATTAAAAAGAACGGAACTTAAGATTGGAAAATAATGGAGAGAAACCAGAACTGTTAGATGCATCCATATCTATCAAAAACTTTGGCATATGCTAGGCAGATTCACCCCAGAGGGCATCCATTGCAGGGGCTGATGGGTCTTCATTACAGGGCCTGTGGTAGGCAGTGAATTCCATTCTGAGTTTCCTCTTTTCCCTTCTAGGATGTTAGAAGAACTTTGCAGAGGTAAGGGGATCCTGCTCATCTCCATTAATATCACTCCCTGAAACTTCACAGGTAGACTGGGAAAGAATATAATATAAAGTGGAATAGAAATGAAATGAATAATAATGATAATACTTCACAGTATCTAGATTTGCCACACCAACAGCAAACTCCATGATGGCTGCCCCACTCAGTCCCACACAGACACCTGTCCCATGGACCATCTGTGGAACTATTCCACAGAGTCTCACACAGTTACCTGTCACCAGAGTACATGGTTATTTGGGAGGTATATGATATCCAGGGACACAGGTGGCACTGTGGTCTAAACCACTGAGCCTCTTGGGCTTGCCGATCGGAAGGTCGAGGGTTTGAATCCCTACGAAGGGGTAAGCTCCCATTGCTCTCTCCCAGCTCCTGCCAACCCAGCAGTTGACCGCTATTTTCTCTAGTTCCTTCATCCTGATCTTCTTAGCTGCCAGCACATAGAGTGCTACTTTATAAGTAACAAAGTCATCGGTGTCACTCAGCAGCCATTTCACCCTTTCCACCCTATTCAAATGTGTTCCATTCATAAACAAGGGTTTTATAAATTGGTCTCTTGGGTCTATGTATAACGGGCACTGCAATAAATCATGGCAAACGACCTCGACGCAGGGTTGTCCACACAGACAGTATCTCTCTTTGTAATGTACTTTGCTGTACTGTCCATCCAACATCACCGAGGGCATCGATTGGAATCGTAGTTCTGTAAAAGCGATTCTAAGTACGGCAAGTGGGAGCTTTGTCAGGTATCTGGCTCGGGCATGCTCCGTTTTGATAAGTGGGAACCATGTTGAGCTCTTGGTAAAAGCAATCATGGTTAGATCCCTTTCTGCATGGGACCCAAAGAGACAGTCTCTTAAGTGCCTCTTCTCCATCTTCATGGTCACCTGAAGATCTTGTTATTTATATTGGGACAAGAGGCATTGGATGCCAGCCTTCCAGCATTTGTTCTGCTCCCATTCTGTGTAAGACATAGTGGGGAATCTCTCCTCCGAAAGAGATTGAAGTCTTTTCACATAATTTAGGCACAGGGAATCATTTCTAGCCTGTATTGTTGTCACGTCAGCTTCAGCACGAAGAAGAGCAGCTGGGGTCCCGTTGGGGAGCGAGACCACTTTCCTGAACAATTTGTTCTACACTATTTCTAAGGCTTTGTTAGCCTTTAGGTCCATGACCCATATCGCTACTCCATGGAGCATCTGGGAAACCACTTTGCTGGCAAAGATTTTCAGCACAGGTTCTAGTAACTGGCCACCCACCGTAAAATAGAATTCCATTAATGCCCCACAAGCTTTCTGCGCTTTGAGTTTCGTAGCCTCAATGTGCCCCTTCCATGATAGCGTCTCAGTGAAGAGAACTCCCAGATGTCTGAAGTAGCGTGTTTGCTCCAGATTCTGCTGATCCAAAGACCATAATTTTGGTCTTGGGGTAATTCACAACGAGGTCTTCCCACTTGCAATACATGCTAAACGCTCTAAGCAGATTGTTAAGACCTAATTGGGAGAGTGATAGGAGCACCACATCATCGGCATACAGCAGACAAGATATTTTCCTATTGCCAATTGATGTGGCGGGGGATTGCGCCAGTGCTAGGTGTGGCACCATATCATTTAGTAAAAGTTGAAGAGTGTGGGAGCAAATATGCAGCCTTGATTCATGCCATTCTACCCACTGTTTTAATATATTCAAAGCTGGCATCCATCTTTCTTGGGAGGCAATGGAGGAGTGCGTCTCTGGGTGTGGTCAAGCTTGTTGGAAGATTGCAGCGCCTGCTGTGGCTGTAGAGACCATTGCAGGAGAGACATGTTTTGTGTCAGCTGGGGCAGATTAAGGTTTCTTGTTGTGCTGCTGCAAATGAACCAGGGCATTTCATCTCTCTATTCTCCTCCTAGCGGTCATTCCTTCTTTGGCCGCTGCTGTGGATACGTGACCTGTCTGTCTCTAGGCACTGCAATCACCTGCAAGGGATTCAAAATGCCGGGTTGATGTTGTCAGCCTTCATGTCATGTTTGCAGACATCTTTGAAACACAGAGTTGGTCT